GTGATGTCAACCCTTTACTTACCAAGAAAAAAAGCAAGGCTTTCAAACAATACCCTAGAAAATACTGGTATTGGCAGTAGGCGCCATGCCTTGGGGAATTCACTTGCACTTTTACGCGTGAAAAGGGGCTTTGTGCTTTAAAACGCTCCATACTAGCATATAAATAGCTTTACAGTACCATCTGCTCGCTTCCTGAGTGGATTGCCAATAAATGTCCAGATTCAGTGTTTGCCACTAACATGGTCTTTCCCAAAAGTATCAAGTCCAGAAACTCGGAAAGTGAGTCTGTGTTTTCCATGGCAGTCAAAGCTTGTTGAATTTTCAGAGCTCCAGTGGAGTTGCACCGCATCAACTTGCTCATGGTCTGTTGATATTTGGTGCGTCCCCCCATAATAAGTTGCAAAAAAACTTCTCTGGAGGTTCAGGCAAACGGACCTGCCGAACATGTCCGAAATTCGGATGTTCAAACGCCCCTCTTCGCTCCCAAGCCCAACCCCGACACTCAGGGTTGAGGGGTCCAATGCCCCTAAAATACCCAGAGGGTCCCTCGGTACCTTGTCAGGAGGTACTTAGACCCCCTCTTACCCCCCAAAAGCCATCCTCAGGAGGTGCCTGGACCTTCTGGCATACAACCCACAACTCTGAAGTATTGGAAAGGCGTCTTCGGAAACTCGAGACGTGCAGTACCAGAAGAGCGAACAGCATGAACCTCAAAAGGTGGAGGAAAAACCAGTTCCCTCACCCCAGAAAGTCCTCCTAAGGTACCAGGCGACCTGTTGGTGACTGTAAGGTATGAGACTACTCGGTTGCTTTCTGTTCCCCTGCTAAAAGTTTAACTTTTAGTGGTTTAATGGAAAACACATTAATTGGCAAAAAGTCAAAGTCCTAACAGCCAAGCAAAATGCACCTTTGACTAGACACGCGTCCAGGTGAGATTCATAGGACAAACCTGCAAATGGGTGAAGGAGACAGGGTCCGCGAATCGAGTCTCATTCGGAGACTCGCTTCACCAAGTGCTGGGGGCCACTCGTCTTAGCCCACTCGAACCTCAAATCGCCGACCCCAACCCCCGCAAGCTCAAAATACCCGCCATGTGTGGTGTTTTTGGAAAAGCTGCCTCCTTTGTTTCAGTAAATGGACATGAACTATGATGCTCTGAGCAAAGCCGGTATTTGGAGCAGGGGGAATCGTCACCCCTTGCACCTACTGCGTGCACCTACTGCGACCCGACGCAAAGAGAGTTTTCGCGGCCGCGGCGCCCCGAAGCGCGAATTCGAATTCGGACTGACGCGAGCCGCCGAGAAACGCCGCTCTCCGCAAAACGAGCACTTTCAGTCGCAGGGACATCAGGTGAGTGGACAATAACCATGGTCATAACCCACCTATCATGGTTTTAGTCTCCGTTCAGTGGGTTATAACAGGGCTCCCTAACCACTTACTCAGTACCCTGCCCTTTTAAGCACCATTCGTGCACTTACCCTACAACCAATGAGGCAAATGGACAACCATGACTCCGTTTGGGGGACCCAGAGAGAAAAGGTGAACGTCGGCCATAAGGACCTTTACTCAAAATAGACAAAGGGGAAACACAACAGACTAAACGGTTGGCAAGGAACAACTGAGGTCGTGGTCAGAAAAGTCCGTCAAGGGAAGTTCCTTCGGGTCCAGGTACTTGTATTGCTCGGGGAACTCTCGCAGAAAGTAGCCCTGCATCAAACAAATCTGATGTTCTGCTGGGTGTCCCTTTAAAGCCCCCCAACAAAGGCTGCCTAAAAACCCACACACCCACTCCAACAATCGGCTGCGCAGGACTGATTTCCCTGAGCCCCGAAATCTCAAGGGCTCACAGCGATTGGCAGCTCTCGTGCTCGACGCGGGTCCAGCAGCCCAGTCAAAACCTCCGTCTAAGCCCGAGCCACTAGTCTGCAGTTCACTAAAGCTGACAAATGAGTTTACTTGCCAAACATACACCTCACACTGTTTGGGCCGTGGCTCAAATGATGAAGAGACCTGCCACGAAAAAAAAGAAGGAAGAAAACAAAAGAAGGCCAGTTTGCCAACTGAACTGGCAGGACATAGAAAGCAAAGTCAGCAACCACGAAGCATGCGCCTGGTGATCCTCCTTCTTGCCATATCCCGCAAGTCAACCCTAAGACGTGGGAGGGCATATCCCCGCTCCAAATACCCACTTCAGCACCAGAGCTTGATGTCGACCCTTCTCTACAAAAGCAGGTGTGCACCCTGTAAAAAACCAAACATAACACTGCAAAAAAAACAAACAAACAAAAAACATATGGCTTCTTGACGGAACCCTATTGAAAGGTTGGCTCACAGGAAACCCAAACTCCATGTTCAAGATCCCCTCTTTAGACCCGCGGTCATCTTCAAGAAGGAGTTCAACCCCGTAACCTCCAAATACCCATCCCCTTTGTTCAGCTGGTATTTTTTGGAAAACCGATCGGCCTAACCCAGGGCAAAGTACCGATCCCTTTGTCAGTAGAAGGTCGATACTCTCCTTCTTCTTCTGGCGCAAAAGACTCCACGTCTGTGCCTTGTCCTTGAAGGGCGAAACAAATTACTGGGCTGCCCACACAGCAGCCGAAAACAGGGCCTACGCACAGCGACTACTTGCGGGCAGCAGCGAGCAAATGCGAGCAAAGTCATCTGCGCACTCAGGAGGCTGATGCAACTGCAGCGTGCTTGCAACAAGGCACTCGGCGATGGCGCGAGTTGAGGCATTTGGGCAGCTACTGGGCCTGGCAAGAAAAGTCACAACTTGCACGCATACCTGTGCCAGCACCACGGGCAGGACGGAGATGCGATGGGACTTTGGCGTCCGGCACATTTCCAAGCAGGAGACCAACGGCCTTCGAAGCGACCTGGTTGCAATGAGCAGCTCAAAGGCAGGCAGCTGCAGAACCCACTTGAGTTGCGCTGATTCTCCAAGGCGAAATGATGGCCGGATTTGACGTCTCTGCTGGAAGATGTGAAAACACAGCCCACCTGTGGCAAAAACAGTCGGGAGGATTATCAGACTGTTGAAGAGAAGTGAGTTGGCAAGCTCGAGTTGTTGCAACTCCTTAACGGTGCGCGAAGGGAGCGACCAAGAGTGCTTAGGGACCCGGAATTTCTCTTCAAACAAGTAGCTACGCTCCTCGGCACCAGCAGCGGCGAAACGGCCCCGCCGCGCCAAATCAAGGACGCGCCGCACTGTGCTGTGTTTGGTGAGGTCACAACCCTGAGCAAACTCGAGCGCGAGAGACTTGGAAAGGCTGACCTCCTGCAAGTTCGCGAATGCACGAGCGCAGGTAGGCTTGGCCAGCAAACAAGTGCAACACAAACGTTGGCTTCGAGCCTTTTGGCCTAACGGGCTTTCGCAAGTCTGCTCCAAGTTGACGGCTGGACGAGCGTGCAAGTCCTGCGCTTCAAGCTCAGCGGCAGCACTAGGAGAATCGACCCAAGTGTGTTCATAGCGAGCACCAACTTCGGGCAATCATCCAAAATCCGCTGATTCTCGGCCATAACGCCTGTAAGGTTTAGTTTGGACCATATTTCTCGGGTGTTCCTCCAAATTTGGTGATATATTTCTGAGACCAGGAAATGGGGTGCATGAACCTTGCGGGCACGTCTGAACAAAAACGACGAAACACCGAGCTGCGAACTTGCAGCTAACATGGTCTCGGGCAACGGACGCCGAAACCAAAACCTGCCCATCTGGGCGTGGATGCGAAGTCGGTGGTTCCACACAGGACAGACTGGTCGATCCAACCTGCAAAGAATGAAATAGGTCGTTGCCTGGTTGAAAGGTAACATGAAGAGAAACACGTGCAGAAACATGCTTTGCTGGCCGAAGGGTAACATGAAGGAAAGCAACAGGCTACACACCCAACAAGCTATGTCTAAAAATGTATGCCTGGCCCCATTGTAGTCAAACAACCTTGCACCACCTAGGAAAGCCTGGAATTCCTGATTCATTCCCCTGTAATCACCCACCCACCAGGGATTATCATGGCTTCCACTCGTAGGATCTCGTCCAACCAGTGGGACTTGTCAGGAAATCCTCGGCCGAGGCCCTGGCCGATCTGGAGGCTACTCTCCACGCGAAAAAAACCTCACGCCCCGAGGAGCGAAACACAACTAGGTGCCTCCAGATTTGAGGTTAGAAGAAGTTGGTACCAACGATTTTTGTCTGTTCCTGAACCCTCAAAATTCCAACTTAAAAATGGGTGTAACCCCCAAAATTATGGGGTGATCTCCCATTTTTATGGGTAGGTTGAGGGTCCAGGTACCCGATTCTTGTCTGTCTATTTTAGTAGGGGAACCGAATCTCCCAACCAAAAAAGGGGTGAGAAAGGCACTACTGGGGGGTTTAGCCCGTGATTCATAGCTCTGAAGTCTCAAGAAGCGGCTCAAGTAGCTGCACAGGCCCAAGCAAACTCTGGGAATAATCCATGCCTTTAAGCCCCATACCCTCCCACCAACTAGCATGAAAGTGCACAAAGCCCCTGTCCCAGAAAAACAATTCGTCGTCTTTCTGCAGGGCTCTGTGCACTTCCATGGAATTTTTCGGGGGGAGGGTACCTGACATGAGTGAGAACTGCCCACCCCTCCCCCCAAAAAAATGTCAAGCCCCGAAGTGGATGAATTCCAACCATGCTGTCCAAGTTCCAATCCCCTGCCGCTCCAAATCAAAACTGCTGGTTTTTAGGGTACTCCTCTTTCAAAACCTGATGTTTTTCCATGACAAACACATATCTCTTTGGAGCAAAGGGTTGGCTTGTTTCAGGGTATGGTACAGTGTAATGATTACACTCTACCATACCCTGAAACAAGCTGGTACTTTATAGGGGGAATATCATATTTGAATGGGTGTGCCGCCCATTGAGGAATCCACCCAAAAAATGCGCCATCCAAAACGCGTGCATGCCATCAGCTTGGCTGACGACTGAGATGGGTGTGTCTTTTACCCAACTGAGTGTGCTTCCTTTAGCATGTCGTTAGCACGGCCCAAAAAAGGGCAGCCTCAAAAAGGACACACCCAGAGATACGTGAATTGCCAGGCAATTCCTTGCGCTCACTGCGTCCTGGGATACCAAGGCCATCATCAGGACACAGGCGCCCTCCATTTGCTTCAGTCCACTGGGAAAAAAAAACATACTTCCAGTAGAGAGATCGATTCCCTTTTGTCCAACAGGGGACAAACAAGTATATGCTTAACCAATTGGAAGGCTCCCAAACACCATCAACCAGAAAATAAGGCGCTGGCACTTCAGGCAACTTCTCTCCACTCACTTGCGCAAATGACCTGAACAAGAGCCCTGACCAAACATGCACCAAAACAGGGAAACCAAAAACGGTTCCTTCAGGCCAATTCGATTTGGTTCAGAGGTGCCTGGTTTGAACACACCGAGTCAGCTTCCCAGTTGTCCCATTTATTCTCTGCAAGGACCAAGGGTTCCAATCCCCAATAAATCAAAGGTTGCCTGAGAGTGCTCCAGATACCCACTTTTTCTAGGTTTTTTTGAAAAACCTGGGTGTCCATGGTAAATACCTCCATTTTTAGTGGAGGGCCGTCATCATACCCTGGAAAAAGAAGGTATTGGGTGTAGGGGGTGTGAATGAAACAGAAATGCAATCTGGTTTCACGTCACTAAATGTCGGCTTTTGTATCCGAACCTTTCACACTAGACAACCTCCCTACTCCAAATACCCACTTTACCTAAGGGTATCCCCTACTCCAAATACCCTCTCTTTTTTTCAGGGTATTTACCATGGAAAACCGTTTTCAGTTGTCCAAAACGAACAACTGAAAAAAGCGTTGGTATTTGGAGTAGGGGGTTTCCGTGTCAACCCCTGACGAAAACAGCATGTAGTTACCATGGTGTCAGCCAGGTTAACCGAAACAAACTCAACCAGGTGGGTCTTCGGAGCTTTGGGGGGAACGATGACACCAGCTTCGCTGCAACCCTTCCGTTTGGTTAAGACCCCTGGAAAAAATATGTCCAGTAGTGATAGATTCCCTTTAAAGCCAACAGGGGAAATTAAACATATTCCTAAGCAAATGGAAGAACAAGTTCACGGGTGAAACGCCTCGCGACGTCAAAACCTTTGGCAACATCACTACGAAATGAGGGTGCAACCCACTCACAAAGAGCTTTTGGTTCTGTGGGAAATTATATTTGTTCAACAACAAGGTGTTCCGAGGCAAATAGCGATCCCTGGTTGGTAAAGGGTTGACATCACAATTTGCTCCATACTTTTCTCCCCGGTTCTAGGGGTGTCTGCGTGTTTGAAAGCCGCCCCCGAAGCAAGCCTGGCACAACCAAAGTTGCTAAAGCCCCGCCAAGGGACCCGAAAGCTCCAAATACCCACTTCTTGTGGGTATGCTTGGTAGACCCCACGGTAAATGCCCATCCCTTTTTGGGGCAAGGGTTGGCATCGTTTGACGTCATATTCTAAAAAACAAACTTGGGTCTTGGGAACAAGCGGGGGTAGAACCTTCTCCAAAAGGTTCGAGGAAGGGTCCTTCGCCCCCATCTGGAAATCCAACTTGTAGATGTTCCCCTGGTTTCTGTTCATCCCTCACAGCTGTTTTCTCGAACCACACTCCTGATTGCCCAGGTTGGGGCCGGAAATGAACGGCTGACCTTTTGAGGCCAAAAAGGGGAAACCAAAAGGCTCAGATTCGGTATGATCCGATGATCCGATTGGCTACGGTTGCAAGCACCAGGTGAGTACCTGGACCCTCAAACTACCCACAAAAATTGGATATCACCCCATAATTTTGGGGGTCAAACCCATTTTTAAGGGAATTTTGAGGGTTCAGGTACTGACTATGCAAAGATGCGATGCCCAGTGGCCATGAGAAAAGAAGGGCACTCTCTTGTTGAGTTGAGTTTAAAGGAATCGGAACCCTTCTCCAAAAGGCATGAAAAAAGGGACCGCAACCCACTGGTTGCAAAGGGTGTAGTCGCTGGTGATGCCTATTTCCTAGGTCCTCCAGTAGAGAGGTTCGAATAAGGCTGCCCTTTTTCGGTAGTCAATTGTAGGGGAACCCTCCCCCGAAAAAAGAGTAAGAGGGCACTGCAAGCCGAATCGATTTTTGAGCTGGGTAACCAAGGGCACCCTGTAACAAACCAAAAGGAACATAAAATTGGCCACCTGCACGGGCTTGCCTGGGATTGATTGGGAACCTGGACCCCCAAAGGACCCCAATCTTTTTTCTGCCTTTGTACCCCTTTTTTTTTGGGTCCAAGGCAGAAAAAAGGGGTCCTTTGGGGGTCCAGGACATTTATTGGTCACTTGGGGGTCCAGGATTCGTTTTCTGCGCCGCCCAAACTTTTGGGCGCAGTGCGAGTGGTTGGGTTGAAAAACTCCCCCACCCATTCACCCCGCCCCATTCCCCCCCAAAAAGGCTGTGGGTCAAAACCAATGGTACCATTTGGGGTAGGTGCACCACCCATTTTAGTTTATCTTAGTGGGGATTGGGATGTTCACTGGGGTTACGGGATTTTGACCCATAGCCAAAAAGAAAAGAAGAAGAACCAGCCCCCATTGCCGACACCTTTAGTGGGTATGAATCCCGGAGGGTGGGTGAACATGGCGGCTGCTTAAAGGGGCGATCGGCTCCTTACAATGGATATACGTCTCAGTGAGTTCTAACCACTCAAATGCCCACTGGCCATGGGACATTTTCTGGGCATGCGGCTTTGGTTGGTTGAGTTTCAAGGAATCGGAACTCTCCCAAAAAAATGGCGGAGAAAAAAGGGGGGGGACTCCACTGGGCTAGTGGGACCAGGCGTGCAAACCACACACTAAGTACCTGATCGCCCCTGTACTTACCCCTTAAAACTCCAAGGATTGGGGAAGTTGACCTTTTACAAACATGTAGCCCATGTTACCCAGAAAGTTGAAAAGTTGTGCTTTTCAGAGGTCAGTGCAAGTGCCCCCCGCCCCCGCAGCGCCAGAGCCGAAGTCCAAGCCGCATCTCTTGAACCGCTTCGTCCAGCAGCGTGCCCGCCCACTGCTTGAAGGCATCGTCCATCTGACCTAAGCCGCTAAGACCCTCAAGGGCTTTTTTCCTCGGCGGGGGGGGGGGGGTTCAGGAGACCCGAAGAAACTACCCATAAAACTAAAAAGTTTTATGGGGCACAGCCAAACATCAGCCAGGTCCTGCAGTAGAGAGGTTACAACAAGGGTACCATTGTTTTTGTCTGCATAGTCTATTTTAGTAGGGACACCTTCCCCCAAAAAAGCGGTGAGAAAGGGCACCACAGGGGGACCGTAACACTTTCTGGGGCACAGCCAAACATCAGTTTAGGGCAAAATCCCGGTTTGAGGGTCCAGGTCCACCCCGAAAGTCGATTGAAACAGCTGGCAAAGGTGGTTCTTGACTTGACCCAAGTGCATCCTTCGAGGTCGCAGAAACTTCAGTGGCCATGGTGGCAAAGACCCACAGGAAAGGATCTGCTTGATCTTGAAGGGCAACGCGCCCAAAAAATGTCTTTGCTCTATGTCCGCCCAACTGAAAACCCCTTGCAACCCTCCGGAACCCTCGCTGAAACTCTGAAAGCTGCTCCGAACCACCCCAGATAGGCCGGGGGCACTTGGGGAGTGAGACAACCACAAGGGTGTCCCTTTTTACAGTACCTGGAGCGGGTAATTTGCGTGTGCAGGTCCTGTTTGTCTTTGTGTTTCTTAAAGGGAAACCAAATCGAACACTGCAAAGCGGTGCGCGGTTTCAATCCAAATTAAGGCGTAGATCGAAGGCATGGAAAATTGAGAAACGAACCATGGCGAGGAAGCATGATTGAAACGCTCGCCACAAAACCAAACTTGGAAGACTGCGGATCTCATTCGGGCAACACAAATCAAGACGGCGCCAAACGTTGACGTTAAAAGGGAAGCCAAAAAAAGGTTCGAGAGTGTGGAAACAGCTTGCCGATTCCCAGAACTAAACTCCATGTTCCTCCAGGGGAGGTGTCTATCACTCGGCCAAGAACTGGTTGCCGGAAGTGGCGCAACACATTGGCCAACTACCCGCGCTACCTCCAAACACATCAGCGTTGTTAGTGGGTGTCAGTGTCATGTCTGCCGGTCTGCCCCCTGACGAACAAAGGGATCGCTATTCACCCTGTGGCTTCAAGCAGAACTTTCAATCCCACTAAACATCGTCGTTAGACCTTTTGCAGGTTTAACAAACAAACAACAACAAACATCTTTATTTCCGAAAGGTCTAAAACGGGGGGATTCGGCCACAAAACACAGCGCCGGGTTAGGAACCAAACAGTAAAAGGGGTGAACAAACCGCCAACCCGATTTTGACCTTCAGCTTCCGGTGCATACCCCCTACTCCAAGTACCTGTATCAGGGTATGTTTGGGGAAGACCTGGCTTTCCATGGTAAATACCTCCTTTGTTAGTAAAAGGGGGTATCTTTATTAGGGAATCTCGTTCTGGGGTGGTGGTGCAGGGGGGGTTCCCTAAACCTCCCCAAGGTTCCCGAAAAAAGTCTAAGGAACCCTAGCTCTCGCAATTGCCTCACAGCACTCTTAAAACCAAATCAATTCATGATCATACTAATGTTGTGACATAATTTAGGCCCTTTGTTCAACGCACTGAGCACAAATGCCCGGAAAAAGGCATGAGTAAGGGCAACCTGCTGCTATGCTCTGCAGAATGCGTGGAAGAGTCATAACCTCTAACCCGTGATCAATTCGGTAATTACTGTCATCAATGTAGTCAACCATTGCCAAGTCAGTCAGTTTTAAACATGCTACTGAGGATAGACAAAAACCCACACCAAATGGTGTAGGGTTTTGTCCATGCATTGTTTTGAAGTTTCCCTGTGGCAAAACGTCCGTGCCCTCTCCATACTTCAGTCCCATTTGCATCGCAAAGGGGTATGCCCAAAACCCCGACACAACATGTTGGGGGTTGCTCCTTGGCTGATGTGTTGAAATGTAGCCCATGGGATGTCTCAAGTTGCTTTTGCGCTTGAAACACCGCGCATCCCAAAGGAACCTTGCTGCTGTTCCAAAAATACCGAACACCGCCCATGTTTTTTTTGTTTTAATCTGCCAAGCGGCGACTGTCCCAACGAACAGATTTCTGTAAACCCATGGGTGATGAATACGTGGTATCTCTCACTTTCGGAGGAGTCCAACTGTCCCACCCTCGGACTCGTCACCTTCGTGGATGATGTTCAAGGCTCATCTTGCTGGTGCTCAGTAGGAAATGTGGGAATGAACCTGGGGGTTCCCTTAAAGGAAATCACCTATTGGATGGTTTATAGGGGTCATTCCCTGATTCCCTGCTGAGCACCAGCAAGTCATTTTCCTCCCGGAAATAATACTCAGCTTTCCTCAAAAAGGGTGGTTTGGATTCGTGGAGACGTTTCGGGTGGCTTCGCATTTACCCTAACCATCAATCCAAACCACAAATTAAGGGTTTCCGGAAATGCTGGTCATTTCCATATCCACTGTGGTCCTAAAACCCAACCCTTGGCCCACATCTTGGGTACAAACATGATATATTCAGACTCTATTTCATAGGCAACCCTAAAACACAACGAGCTATGGATGGACGAAATCCTGCACCACCTAAGACACCCTGAAATAACAGTGTCTCCGTAAATACCAATAAACAATGGCTTCAACTATGGTTTCCAAGTGGTTCAGGATCTCGTCCATCCATGGCATGTTTGGAGCAAAGTTCCCAACAAAAAGGACAACAGGGCACCTGAAGTCTCACACTATCTCAAACTACCCTTGACAACAGGTTGAATCCACCAACCACAATTGTCCCAGTAAACTTTCAGTGATTCCAGTTCCCTATTTAATAGGTACCCAAGGCACTGACTCTTTAAAAACCGTAAAAGGAAAAAACTGGTTACCATATGGGCTTGAAAGCCATTGAGTTCACTTGGCGAGCCATTTTGGGCAGTTTCTTCCTTACCCCTTACTCAAAAAAAATGTCGACCCTCTGCTAAAAGAAGGTATTTACCAAAAAAAGAATCCAGGTTGTTCAAAACATACCCTCGAAAAAGGCGGGTATTTGGAGGGTACGGGGGTACCCTCCCGGATGCTCGCATCTGCCTTTAGGCGAGTTGTCTGGGGATCCGGCCCGCATGTCGCGGCGCTTCCGTGGGAGACCTTGCAACCGACTCCAAGCCCAATGGTTCTTCGGGCTCCCTATATCTCCCTTTAAAACATCACCTTGAAGGGATACTCACCTTTCGTGGACCAAGGTGATGCTTCAAACCACCACAAAGGGAAATATAGGGACCCCTGTTTTTGTGACCCTCCCACCATGAAACCTGACGGGGGGGGTCCTGGAAGACCATTTTCCTGTTAAGGGGAGCCCCTGTCAGGCTCCATGTCAATTGGTGGGAGGTAATTGGTATGTCAACTCTTGACAACAACGGGATCGGTATCTAGCCTGGAAACCCGATCGATCGGCTTTCCCCAAACATACCCGGCCTGACAAAAGGCTTGGAGCAGGGGGAAGTAAACTCACCGATCGAGTGGATTGGAGAAAAAAGACGAACTGTTTGTCTAGTCTCAGCCACTAAAATGGTCCAAGCCCAAAAAAGAACATCCAGCGTGAGCCATGGGTTGCGCCTTCACTCGAGTGTGGTGGCTGTAAGTGACTGTTTCGTCAGGTCATAGATCTGTGGTACAGCCCGTCCGAGTGGAAGACGCGCAGCAAGCTGAAAGGAAGACTCTTGCAAGTGTGGCGGACACGAAGTAATGTGAAGAGGCACAGTGTGCCTCTTTGCAAGTTGAGCCACTTCAAGCACAAACATCTTGATTACATCAACCCTTTACTATATAGAAAAGGAGCATGTACCATGAAAAAGCAGGTTGTCCAAGAACATTGCATATATTTGGGGGATTTTCGGGTGAGTTTTGAACCCTCGACGATTTCTATGGGCCAGGAAAACTTTAAAAGGTAAGCCTGAACCCTCAAAATTCCAACTTAAAAATGGGATTGACCCCCAAAATTATGGGGTGATATCCCATTTTTATGGGTAGTTTGAGGGTCCAGGAGGAAGTCATTTTTTCGCTTTGGGCCTTTCGCAGGAGAAAAGGCCCGTCTTTTTCTCCAGAGAAGGCCCAGAGCCCGACGGAACCCGAAGGGATGGGATCGCCAAATCCTCAGGTCCTCCACTGGAGAGGACCTGAATGAGGGTACCCGATGGATTTCCACGGGGAAAACGAAAAAGGGCACCTGGCCCTCCAGCTTTGAGAGGTTAGAATAAGTTGGTACCTGGACCCTCAAACTACCCATAAAAATTGGATATCACCCCATAACTTTGGGGGTGATATCCCATTTTTATGGGTAGTTTGAGGGTTCAGGTACCCACTTATTCTGTAGTCTGTATTAGCAGGGGAACCGAATCTCCCAGCCAAAAAAGGGGTGAGAGGTCGGGCACCAATTGCTGGGGGACTAGGTCCAAATGCCCTGCATGCATCTGTGCATGGGGCAAAAGGGGCAACTCCCTTTTCTCGCTGCTGCTGAGCGAACAACCCCGGGTTTGGGAATGAACCTGGGGATTCCCTTCAAGGAAACCGCAGGGGATGGTTTGTGGCCTGTCATTCCCGAATACTCTGAAGAGCACCAGCAAGTACTTGGTGGGTTCCGCCACATTGATCAAGACCCCACCCCCCAATTGGAGTGGTCCACTGAATTCCAAATCAGGCCTGCTTTGTTGGGTTTAAAGGGGAACCCTTCCAAGAAAAGGAAAAGGGCGGAATCCGCTCGGCAACTGGGCCAAATGTTGCTTTTGATTGTGGTTGGTAGTTCTATTTCCAGGGTTCTCCTTGTGTTCGGCAGGTGCTTGGAAATCTCCTTTCCAGAAAGCCCTGGATTCTATGACCCCTAAAAGATGCTGAAAGACTGCTCAAGGACTGCAATTGGTGGAATCCACAGTTGAGACATCAACTTGTGTTTGCTGGGCTGCCTGGGAATGCTTGGAAAGGGTTCAATAAACCCCACAAAGAGATCTTGCAGGGTGTATTAGATGGTACTACTTTTCATTGTTGATCAAAAAGAGGGGTCAAACCGTGCTACATTTTGCTTGGCGCTGGGAAACTGCGAAACCTCACAAGAGAAGCCAGGAAACTTCAAAGCGGCTAAAACCCACGGAATTGCCCACCGTTTGACAACACCAGGAGGATGGCTGCAAGCACCCCCAACGATGGTTGGCTTCCCATGTGCAACATCCCAAGGGGATGATATCACAAAATCTTGCATGGTGCACCGTATCCTGACCAACTGTACTCCTCACTTGCTGAGTGGATGGATGGGCTTCCTAAAAAGTGTATAAAGTTCATGAACTGAGGAAGTGAGACTCTGGTGTGCGTTTTTCCGGTGGCAGCCATTCAAACACAGGCTTACGCACGCAAGCCGCTGATCCTTCCAAGTCTTTTTTGCATTCATGAACATGGACCCTGAAACAATCACAGCAACGAGTTGTTTGTCTTGACCCCGGATCGAAGTGGGTGTCAAAATTAAGCCACCAGAGGACCGCAGGTGTTAGTCTTTGGTTCCATTTACAAGGGTTCCATTTTGGGTACCTATTATTGACAGCCAAGTAGAGCCCGTCCTCTTAACAGAAGAGGGTGTTCCCTCCAATTTGTGGTCTGAAGCCCCGCGAAAGGGGGGCGCGCACCCCATGAACATTTCCCAATTTCACTTCATCCGGGGACCTGGTGACCAGCAGCCCTCCGATCGATGGAATTTGGAGAACTCCTACCCCTGCAACCTCCAAACTCAAATACCCCGCCTTGTTGTGTACTTTTGGAAAAAACCGACCGGTTGAAACCATGGCCAGTACCCATCCCTTTTTTAATGGGTCGACACAGCAGCTGAAGCCCTGCGTTGGCATTCGGCGGTGTAGGGGGTATACACAGAAAACCAATCTAAACCAGCGGAACCCATCTATTTCATTGCCCAAGCTCAACGATCAAAAGGACACCTATGCGCCCAACACCTCCAAAATACTGGGGATGGGGGAACTCCAAACCATGGTTGCAGGAATCATCAGAAGCTTTCCGGCTTTCGCGAAGCATCTCCACAGCATCTCCTCCTAGATCGCCAAGTTGCTGTTTCGCTTTTTGCAGCCGTCGCCAGTTTTTGGGGTTTAAAGCTCGTGGAGAAAAGCGAAAACGCAACTGGCGATCCAGTTGCTCTTCACACGGGAGTTTGCGCACAAAACTTTGGCCCAGCAAACCGGGCTGGAGGGCTCGAACCGGAAGAAAAAAAAAACAGCTCCTCCCCCGATCGGAAGGGACGAACAGAGGCCTGCCGGACTCCTCAAACCGCAAAAAGCGCCACAAGACGCTTGGAAAACCAACTCTCCGAGGGTTGGGGTTGCAGCAAACCTTCATGGCTGTGGCTCAAAAACCCATGCATTCCCCAAGAATTGCACTGGCAAATGGAACCAAAGACTCAAACCTGTGTGCCCTAGCTCTTGAAAACTCTGAGCCACACCCACATGAATCTCTCTCGAATATGTCGGCGAAACCAAGTCATGGGTACGCGACATCCAAGACCACTTCGGTTCAGTTCAAGCACCAAAGCCTACCCCCGAAAGTTCATACCCTCTCTCTTTTTGGGGTATGATGTCGCCCCTTCACCTAAGAAAGGAGGATTCTTTACCCTGGAAACCCGATCGGTTTTCGTAAAAAAAAAAAAGCTTAACATACGGCACTTGGAGTCCTGGACCCCAAATTGGACCGATCCCGATTTTCCTTCTGCCTTTGTACCAACCCTTTTTCTTTGGGGGGTCCTTTGGCAGAAAGAAAAAATCGCTGACTCGGTCCAATTTGGGGATCGGTCCTTTGGGACGATGCTACTTTCAGTTCCTCGAGGGCGGGCCGTGGGTTGACACCTCGAGGCTCCGCCGCTACCCCGCCGCCCGCTTCCGGCGTTTTTCGACGCGAGACTTCTGGGGCCCCGGACTCGCCGTCCCTGGAGGACATGCGGGGAACGTCAGCTGGGCTATGGAAAACCGAGAACCTTCTTCCAGGACCCTGAAAAAGCAGTTGCCTTTGGCGGATTTTCCTTTTCCAACCAAGAGCAAAATCAAGAAGGACCCTGCTTTTGCCGTCCCTTGGAAGATGAAGGGAAAGGCTTTCCAAGGTAAATACCGATCCCTTGTTCAGCAGAGGGCCGACAAATCATACCCTGGAAAAAAAGCTGGGGTCTTTGGAGTGTAGGTACAACCAACGAGGTAAATGGATACCCCCTTCTCGAGATACTCACTTGTTCTAGTTCGCATCTTTTGAACAACCGGTTTCGGGTTTCCATGGTACATACCGATCCCCTTTTTAGTAGAGGGCCGGCAAATCAAACCAGGAAAAAAGGCCGGGTATTGGGTTTAGAGGCTAGTTGGAGGGAGGGTCAAAACAAGCACTCTTCCCGCGCTCACTTGCCCAAGGATCTTTCTGGAACAAAGCTTGGCTGGAAAAAGGGACCCCAGCAAAATAACAAACAAATCATATATATATATATAGATAAATGTGCATATATATATATATATTGTTTGCCTGCCTAGTGGCAAACAAAGGGGATCGGATCCCAAAAAAGCAACAACTAAAAAAGGGAGCTAATTCTGGGGAAGAATAGATCGACCTTTTGGCCTCGACGAAAAATGGACCAAAGGGGCGATCAAAGGTCGATTGATCCGGCCGATTCGCGGAACGGGCCAGGGGGTTGTTCCCTCTGAATAGGTTTCCTAAGTATACCCTGAAAAGGCGAGTGGTTGGAGGGGGATCTGCAGCCGGCAAATACGGGGGCCTCATGCGAAAACCTTCATGGTGTGCGTGGTTTACCAGGTGAGTTTGCCATTAAAACAGGAAGAACAATACCCAGAAACCAGAAACCATACCCACACATTGCGGTGTTTAATCGGTCTGACTTGCACCAAAAAAAAACCTACCGCGCCCAACATGAAGGGTGAAGGAGGAGTGTTCAACATTGCCCCTCTTTAATGGCACAACCCCGCTATAAATCAAACCAGGGTTCATTAGTCGGGCAATATCTCCAAACTGAGCATGATTATATACCGAAGTCTAAGACTTGCAATTCTAGATCACTCTATAAAGTCCCATATAAACCGAATAGGCCACAAGTGAGCAGAAGGTGGGTCAGGAGTGTTGCTCCAAAATCCCGGGCGCAAGGGTAGAGTTGGCATTTTTGTTCGAGCGTCTTAAGTCCTCTGGAAACAATTCCAGTGATAGATCCCCTTAAAATCCAACAAAACTAACACATGTGCTGGACCAATTGACAGAAATGGCAAACCTGGCGAAACCATTGGCAAATTTCGGCGTGCCTTAACACCTCCAAACTGGTAGGTTTCACTTGTCCAAGGGCAAGCTGAAAAGAACCTCAAATCAACATGGCTTGCCGTAAAACTATGGGGTAGCCATTTTTTCCCAGCCACTTTTACCCACTAGCCCATAATTTGGCAAAAGTAGCTGGAAAATGAAGGCCTTGCTGGGGATCCAGGTAATTCTCTCTTTTTCACGAGTAGTTTCTTCAGGTTCAGGCCACCATTTCTACCCTTGAGGCTCGGGACAAATCCCCTCGAGCGAAAAGGAACTCTCTCGATCCCCTCGCGCTTTCGGAAACGGAAGAGCCGGTCGAGCACAAAGGAGCTACTTTTCCTGTGGCTTTCCTGGGACCCGGTCTCAAGACCAGGTTGTAAGGCACTAAATCAATCGAATTGGAGCCTTTGGGCAGGGTATTTCTGGTTGAAAAGACGGTTTTCCACGGTTGATTGAAGGCCCTAAATCAATCGGCCAACGCATGCCAACGCCCAAAAGACTGGGCTGTCCTCAGACCAGCGAACTGCTCGTGGGTTGAATCCTCACGAAACCCGAGAAACCATAAAAGCATATATATATATATATAATGTGTTTTTTTAGAAAAACAATAAATAATAATAACAATTTTAAAAATAATAATAATAATACTAATAATAAACTACGGAGCCAAACGGCTGGGAGCCGCCACACAAAAGACACACACACACACTACCCATACCGGGACTTCACCTCAGACCCGTTTTTGGTTGGTTGAATTCAAAGGGGAACCGGATGTCTTGGTTGAGTTCAAAGGGGAACCGGATGTCTCGGTTGAATTCAAAGGGGAACCCTTAGGGTCCCTTACCCAACCAAAGTTGCAAAAAGGAAGCAACCCACTGGGCAAGGCAACGGACTCACCACCCACTCCCGCCTGGCGCGCTCGCCGGGGTCGCTGCGGAAGTGCCGCAAGAAGCTGCTCCACTCGAACTTCGCGCCGGGGCTGTCGTGGCCTGCTGGCGGCGAGGCAGCCGGAAAACCACCCCGCCCATGCACGCGCACGCACACCACTCCAAAGACCAAGGTTGCTTCCAGTGCTTTTGTTTGGGGAAACCTCGCCTGAACTTTGATGGTATTTGTTTGATGGCAAAATCAGAGTGCCGCGCATTTCTCTTCTGTTTTTTTTGAAAGCAATGTTTGGGGGTATTTGTGGGAAACGTGTTTTTTTTTTCAAAATACATATCTTTCTTGTACAGTATAGGGTTCGCATGATAGCAACTAACAAAAAGCGTTGGTATTTGAGGTCAGGCAAGTGGATAGCCTGGCCAGTAATATGCCTGCCATCCCGTAACATCATTTTGCTTGAATACCTGAGACAAAAAAAGGCACGTACTTTCAGTGTACTGGGATGTCTTTTAAGGGTATCTGTCTTTCGGTGCCCACAATAGTCTAGGTCCTCCAGTAGAGAGGTTAGAATAAGGGTACCTTTTCTGTAGTCTATTTTAGTAGGGGAACCCTCCGCCAAAAAAGGGTAAAAGGGCACTACTGGGGGACCTAGACAGTGATACATTCCCTTTAAAACCAACAGGGGAAAACGACTGTTAAGCAAATGGAAGTAAATGGAAGTCAAACAAACAAGGGACAACCAAGTAAGCAAACATCAGTTTAACGCGCAAAAAACACAAACAAAAAAAACACATATACTCAAAAACAAATGCGGCGGCAGGCGAACTTTTCCAAGGCGCCGCAGAGGGCGACCATGTACTCCTGCAGCAGCACCGCGTGCTTGCCGCAGTCCGCGTGCATCAGCCTCGCCAGGTCCTGCGAATCCGTGGAAAACGGGCAACTCCTCCCCTCCTTTCCAGACAGAGCCAAGGTCAGAACGGATGTGCTTTCTGATGATGATTTATTTTGGCTGACATTATTATTATTATTATTATTATACAAAGCTCACCCACCCTGAAAAACGAGAATATGCCCCAACTCCAAGTACCAGTTGTTTGCAGGGCATTTGTTGAAAGCACTTTCTTCTGACTTGTTTTGGGGTACTTCAAGGGGCGATCGGGTACTTAGGAAGTGGCTAGTAAGCCTGGAAATTAACCGCTTACTAAGTACCCTGCCCCTTTAAGTACCCTTTTATTTGCTGCTTTTTTTGGGGGGAAGCCAGCAGGAAAAACGTTAAGCCATTTTGGGGTCCCCCATATGCGCCATATGCCATGGGACACCGACCGGGGTGACTCGCAATAACAAATTGATGGTTGCCGTCACTATTGCCTCCAAGAATCGCAATCTTTAGGGCCACCGGTATATTTTAGTAGGGGAACCCTTCCCCAAAAAAGGTAAAAGGGCACTAATTACTGGGGGACCTAGTTCGGCAGGTGAGACCAGCTGCCTGCTCACAAGCCGAACCCTTTCTAGACTTTCAAGGACAAACAATTCTGCTGCTAAAAGCCTCACAACCAGTCCAGGTAAGACTGAATCTGACTGCTGTCAACGTCACCGAAACGAGAGCCCCAAGTCACCACAGAGCCGTCGTCCAGGATGGCAGCAAATCCGTGGTCAGTTGCCTGGATCTGCTGGACCTGCACCAACTGCTCTCGAACCTCACTGCTGTCACCACCAGTGTGAGGCAAGCCCCAAGTCACCACAAAGCCGTCGTCCAATATGGCAGCGAAAGCTAACTCAGCTGCTTGGATCTGCTGGACGCGCACCAACTGCTCTCGCACCCCGCTGCAATCCCCGCCAGATTTGGGATTGCCCCAAGTCACCACAGAGCCGTCGTCTAGGATGGCAGCAAAGGCCTCTCTGGTTGCTTGGATCTGCTGGACTCGCACGAGCTGCTTTCGAACCTGGCTGCTGTCACCGCCATTGCGAGGATGGCCCCAAGTCACAACCGAGCCATCTGCCCGAATGGCAGCAAATGCACTCTTAGTTGCTTGGATCTTCTGGACGTGCACCAACTGCTCTTGCACACATTCGCTGTAACCGCCCTCGTGACAAGAGCCCCAAGTCGCCACAAAGCCTTCCTCCGTGATTGCAGCAAAGGCTGTGCCAGCTGCTTGGATCTGCTGGACACGCACCAACTGGCTGCTGTCACCTCCGTAGTCGGGATCGCCCCAAGTCACCACAGAGCCGTCGTCTCGGATGGCAGCAAAAGCAGAGCCGGTTGCTTGGATCTGCTGGATGCGCGTCAACTGCTCTTTCACCTGGCTGCTGTCACCGCCGAATTCTGGATCGCCCCAAGTCACGACAAAGCCATCGCCAAGGATGGCTGCAAACGCACGGTCACTTGCTTGGATGTGCTGCGCACGCACCAGCTGCTCTCGCTCCTGGCTGCTGTCACCGCCAGCGAAAGGATTCCCCCAAGTCACCACAGAGCCATCGGCCAGGATGGCAGCAAAAGCACTCCGATTTGCTTGGATCTGCCGGACTCCTACCAGCTGCTCTTGCACGTGACTGCTGTTTCCACCGAGTGCGGGATTCCCCCATGTAACCACCGCGCCTCCTGGAACATAGAGTGCGCAAGCCTCATCCGTGGAAGCCATCTTCACTGGCTGCATGATGGCATCAATGGTGTCCCCATCTCGCACACCCGCCTGACTCAACGTAGACGACGCATACAGCCGCTGACCTCCAAAAGCAAGCTGCAAAACACCGCACCTCAAGCGCCGCTGCGCTGCAGACTTCACTTCGCGGACGCTTGGGTCGGGCCCGGGCAGCGAAACGGAGCAGCTCCCCCCGCTCAGCAAGCGCACATCCACCGAAAGCATGGCGCAGATGCCCAGGTCATTCGCTGGCGAGGAATGAGGTAACAGCAGGCGACGCAATCAAGAGCCAAAGCAAGAACTCGTCGGATTGCTAGAAGATTTGCCAAGAGACAACTCCATCCATGTGTTTGTGTGAGTAAAAAAAAACAAAACTCATTTGCCCAGTTCGGACCCGGAAATACAAGATGAATGCTTTGGAACCTTGACCCAAAGTTGACCAACCACGTACTCCAGATACCCTCTTGTTCAATGGCACGTATTGAAAAGCCTGGCTGAGATCATGGACAATACCAAGCATTGCTTAGTCAGGGACTCACAGACTCACATCACAATAACTCAAAAAGCGTTGGTATTCTCACTGGATTGGCCAAAACAAGTTCAAACTGTTTGTAAACCGCTAAAATGGTCTTCCCAAAAAGTTTGAAGTCCTCCGTGAACTCAGGAAGCGAGTATTGGGAGGGGGAACATTGGAAAACCACCCCCTTCTCAAAATACCCACTTTGACACAGGGTATTTTCGGGAAAACCGAAAAAGGTTCCCATGGTAAATACCGTTCCCCTTTTTTTAGTAGATTAGGGTATTTGGATTTTCGGGGGTGTCCTTCTTCTTATTCAGGGGTTCCCATGGGTATTTGCAGTTTGGGGTACTTGGAAAGTAGCAAGCAGAAGCCTCATTACCAACCGAGAAAAGAACAATGCCGGGTATTTCCCGAGCTTTCGGGGGAGGTTCAGATCCGCAGGATCACAACGAGGCCAACGAGGCCCACAGACGCACGTCCCAAAGCCCCCAGTCCTCAATGCCCAAGAGGCCGTCCTCATCCTGGTCCTTACGCGGAACGGGGCAAAAGCGGCAGAAGCGGCGGTTTTTGGCGAGGTGTTCTGAGAGGTTCGAATAAGTTGGGACCCCCAATTGAACCCTGATTCCTCTTTCCTGCCTTTGACCCCAAAAACAAGGTTGGTAGACAGGCAGAAAAAAGGAATCGGTCCTTTGGGGGTCCAGGTAAGTTGGGACCAACTTTGCTCTGTGTTTGTTTTAGTAGGGGAAGCCTCCCTTGAAAACAGATGAGAAAGGGCACTACTGGAAGACCTAGTTGGTGTGTTAACCACCTTGCTTGCAAAACGGCGTTTTTGATGGACGATGATACCGTAATTAGAGGGTAAACAAATCATTCTACAAGAATATTGATTGAAACCATGGCAACTACGTGCCATGATAGAGCCACAGGAAGAGACATGATACCTAAAACAGCTGGTCGGTATTCCTCCATTTGCTGAAGCCTCGGTGGAAAAAAAACAACACTATGTCCAGTAGTGATAGATTCCCTGCAAAACCAAAAGGGGAACACAAAAGAATGGTCATCTAAACGCAAAATGCATGGTGTAGGGTATTTGGGCCCAATGGACCCCAGCTACCCAAGTAGATAACCCTTCGCCATCGTCAGTCCCTTGGTTACCTACCTGAACAGGTAAATGGATATCATCTCTACTCTTGGTATGGTAGCAAAAAGCTTTGTTTTTTGCAGACCAAACAACTAATAAACAAAAATGCCAAGAACAGTGAAGATATGAAAGTACTTGGAGGGCCGTGGGGAATGACCACTACGATACAGAAAAGGGCTTCCCAAAGACTAAATTGTTCATAGAAAGAAATGGGGATAAACCTCTTGTATCACAGAAGTGGTTGGATAATGAACACCCCCTATTCATAAATCCATGTTTATCAATAGGAGTGTCCCTTAGTGGGGATTGTTCACTTTTGGAGGGGCCCCCACCCCCCTATTCATCAACTGGGGTTGATTAATAGGGGGTCAACATTAAACCCCTTGATCCCACAACCCTGACGTGGAGGGTGACCCCAAAAACCGAAGTCCTTTGAACCGCTGCGCTGGCGGTTGCCGCCAGGGGCCCGCCAGTGCAAACAAAATGCTCACGACCATTTGCTGCGGATGGCTTCGCCCAATTTCCAGAAACCGCACGAAAGGAAACCAGAACTAAGGGTACCAACTTTTTTCAGTTTCGTCTATTTTAGTAGGGGAACTCTCCCCCAAAAGAGGCTAAAAGGGCACTACTGGCGGACCTAGATAACGATGGTTTTTCTTTATCATGAATTCCAGGTTCCTTGGGCGGGAAATAAAATTTGTCCATCCACTGTACCTTCAACAAAAGCTGTTCACCCTTCCAAAGCTACACTCAGATGCCCAGTGGACTTCCACGGCAAAAAAAGGCACCCTTTTCTGGTTGGTTGAGTTTAAAGGAATCGGAACCCTTCCCAAAAAAGGAATGAAAAAAGGAGCAACCCACTGGTTGCAACAGAGTACATCAGCCCAACATGTCGGCTTTTTGCGGTTCCCCGGTTTGAGGGTGGTGCAGAAGGATATCTCTTCGCGCAACGGTGAAACGACCGTCCAAACGAAAGCGACCAAACCATGGCGCCCGGGGCGCAGATCCCCTGCTAGAAGTTGAACTTCTGGGTTCATTTTCGGAAGCCCAGCCACTAAACCAACCAAAAAACGACTAAAAACCTAGGGAACCGGATGGGCTTGAAATCAGGAATTGTTTGTTTGCTGAAGTCCCAGGAAACAAGAATGAGATCAATTCCCGGCAAACCCAGGCAAAGACAACTCTAAAACACAAGTAGTTCAGTCCTTCTGCTTGGTCGGCGTTTGGCCGTTTGGAGGGGGACCCCCTCCCAATACCTGCTTTTTTTTTTCGTCAAGTTGGACCCATGAAAATGCCGATGCCTTTGCTAGTCCAGGGTTGACCTCATACCTCCCGAAAAAAAGCATGGGTTCAGAAAGTCCCCCTTTTTTTCCACCCTCGGCCCGCGGTGGTGCCAAGAGTCTGCCTGGTCGAAGCACTGCCGCAGGAAGCCTTCCTCGAAGAAAAAGCCGCGGCCCGAAAACGCCCTAAATCCCCCAACTGTGGCTCAGATGCCCAGTGGACTTCCATGTTTCTTTTTCCAGCCACTTTACCCACTAGTAGCCCAGAATCTGGCAAAAGTAGCTGGACAATGCAGGCTTGAGCTTAAAGGAATGGGAACCGATCCCAAGAAATGGAATGAAAAAAGGAGCAACCCACTGGTTGCAACAGAGCTGTGGATGGCTGCGAAATCCGCTTCTCGCACCACCGGAAGCAGAAACCCGGGTTGATGATTTCCCCCAACAAACAAGAGTTTTCCAAGTGGTGCAGGGTTTAGTCCACAGCCAGGTCCTCCAGTGGAGAGGTTAGAGCAAGGGTACTTGTTTTTCATGTTTTTTTTTTTTTTTTTTCTATAGTCTATTCTAGCAGGGGAACCCTCCCCCAGAAAAGGGTAAAAGGGCATTTTTGGGCGACCTAGAAGTGGTGCAGGATTTCGTCCACAGTATTTATTTACTCTACTTGCCCAGTCATTTGCCATGCATGGTTCTTTTAGAGGGATCCCCTACGAGTGATGAAAAGGGGACACCTCCAATCAATCAACCAGGCGGATTGAATGTTCGGCATAGTTGGGAAGGGTTAGCCACTTGAGTTACAACGCACTAAGGGGACTTGTAAGTGAAGTGCGTAACCTAAGATAGCAGCAACTTGCTAGCCGACAGTCACCCATGATGTGTTTGAATCCTGCCCCCACTCCAAACACCCGCTTGTTTTCAGGGTATCATGCTATATAACCCCAGACCGAAAAAGGGGCCAGTTGCCACGGACAGTTCGCGAACTCCCCAAACAAGTGGATGGACGAAAAAAAAAATCGCACCTAAGAAACCAACTCGCGTCCGACGATGTCCCCGCTAAAAATTCCAAATAAATCTGATGGTCTCATTCCCATAGGTTTCCTTCCCAAGGGGTGCCTAGATTTCACCATCAGCACCGACTCAACACGTGGGGGTCTTTGGAGCTTTTTCCGGGGTGAAAAAAAAACATCATCCTCAGAATATGGATTCTTGATACCTGGATCAAACTACCCATAAAAATAGGGATATCACCCCATAATTGTGGGGGTCAAAACCCATTTTTAAGTTGGAATTTTGAAGGTCCAGGTAGAATCTGCCTCAAGTGCCTTATTTGATCCCTTTCATGGATCTGCCTTTCCCCCCCTTAAGTCTCCCCTCCCCCATGGATCTGGGTATGGGTCAAAATTTTAAACCACCAGGGGACCAAAGGCAGGTTTTGGTCCATGTTTCCAAACCCATTTGCAGTACCAGGATTCCATTTGGATTCCATTTGGGGTACGTATTGGGGTCACGACCCCTTTTGCTAGGGGTCACGGAGACTCTAGGTACATATCTTTGATTCACCATAGTCATCGAATTGACTCCGTTCCCGATCTGAGCTCCTTCCCCCGAGACCTGCGCGGAGAATAAAATATCCCCCCGAAAGCTCCAGAGACAAACGCCTTTTTCGTTCTTGTTCGTTTTTTTTCTTTGCTGTTTTTTTGTTCTTAAGTTTTGTCGTTCCTAGTTTTTCTTTTCCCGGAGCAACCTGGGTTTCCATGGTGAGTACCTCCAGATACACACTGTTTCTACCTAGATCGCCAAGTTGCGAGCGCGTTTTTCACTGTTCCTGGTTTTTGGGATAAAGTGGATGGGAAAAAACAGCAACTGGCGATCCAGGTAGGGTATTTTTGTTTTGTTTAACAAACAGGGTTTCCAGGAATAGACACCTCCTTTTTTGGTGGAGGGCCGACATCATAGCCAGAACAAAGTTGGTATTGGGGTTCGGGGGTGGGGCCAAATAATACATATAAAGCAGAATCCGAGAAGATGTGTGTCTTGCATTTATGGATTTCCTGAAGGAAAGTGGGTATTTGGAGGTTACGGGGGTAAAATAGACTCGGACCATCAGTTGGGTGTGCCAACTAGGTTTCCAAGGTGTCAGGCATAGTCATTGTCATGTTTCCGGCGGGTCCAGGACACCCCCTACTCTGAATGCCAACGTTTTGTTCGGTGGGTGTGTTTGAAGAAACCCGGCTTTTTCAGGGTACAGACAGTACCTCCTGTTTGGGTCAGGGTTTGCCATCATGCGTGGAATTCTGAGGGACCCGTATGGGTGGGAGGGCTATTTCTGGATGAGCCCAGGCTAAAGAAAAGGAGAAGGTCTACAGGCTCCATACAGGGTGAATAAGGGAGTTATTCCCCCCCCCCCCCCGAGCCGTCACTTAGCACGGAACAGTCCAAGCCACCCCCCCCCCCCTCCCCCTCCCCCTGTGCCATGGACACCTAGAGAATCTATTTTGCAACCATAGCCTAAAACCCAATAACCCAAAAGAAGGAGGTTGGAAAATAGACCCTACCTGGATCGCCAGTTGCGATCGCTTTTTCCATCCACTTTATCCCAAACACCAGGAATAGTGACTGAAAAACGCGCTCGCAACTTGGCGATCTGGGTAAGTGTCCACCATACCCCCCCCCACCCCAGCTTGCCAAAAAACTTGAATCTGCCCACTTCCACAAGCCAATCTACTACTCACAAACCAAGCTCATACTCTCCGCAAGCCAACCTGATCCCTTCCACAACTAGGTCCTCCAGATTTGCGAGCTTAGAACAAGGCTACCCAATTGAATCATTCCATTCCCCCTGTAAACACACACAACCTTTGTGTTCAACGGCTTCAGCTCAGTTGCCCAAAGGACCCAGAAATAAAAGGTTAACCTTTTGGGGCCATGACTAAAAATGGATCAAAATCGGAAAACCAAAAGGATAAAAGGTCGGCTTTGGGCAACTGAGGTGGTTCATGGATTTCGCCACCCAGCGTGTCGTGAGGCCGGCCACCGCGAACAACGAGGCCCAGCCGCGTACTTTGGATCCCCGAGGTCCGCCAGCGCCGCCACGAAGCTGCACCAGCCCACGCGACCGTCCTCCGCCTCGGAGTTGGTTTGAAACGCGTGGAGTTCCCAAAAAATAATATATATATATATATGTATATATATATATGTATATGTATATATATATATGGTCACCCCCCCCCCCCAGGGCCTACCTTTGCCCTCTTCTAGTTGAAGGTGTCAACTCTACTCTGTGTGCCTCTTTCTTGCAGATGCCTGAAACACTGTAAAATACAGTGTTTTGTTGTTTTTTTTTACCTTCTATATGACAGCAGATGTCTGATTCTTTGAGGCTTGAAAGGCAGCAAAGCGAAAACGGATTCCGTTTTCAGATTCGAGCCTGGCTTTGATTGAATCACTGGTTTTTACAGTGGTTTTGAGTACACCAGGGAAAAACATTGAAAAAATGATGTTTTTGGCAGCTTTGAGCTCTGCAACCTGCACAGACCCAAAAGCACAAAATCTCCTGAAAATGAAAGCTCTGAGACCTGCACATGCCAAACACATCTCCAGACCAAGTTTGGGAGTCTGGGGATATGTGCCCTTTATTTGTTTAGCCACATTTAAGCTAAATCATATTTGGGAATGAGTTACTATTAAAATTTGTTTGCAAAGGCCAAGTGATTTCTTTCCAGAATAAGCTATATTCCAATTCAAGTTGTATTTGGGGATGGATTCTTAATCAAATTATTATGTTCAAAAGCTAATTGAACTCTGTCTGCATTAAAGTATATTTGGATTCTACTGCAATGATATTTTCCTTATTTGGAAAGGTATTCCTGTTCAAATTCTGATCTAATATAGACATTATGGTGAATTATGAATGGTGGTGAACTATGTGCTTACTAAATTCTATTCAATATGCAAATTCAATTCGGATCAAAAATCGTATTTGGAAAGGAATGTGTACTTGGATATGTTGGACTCCAGGCTCCAAAATATGAGGCTTGGAGAATCCAACATTAGACATCTCGAGGATTCTGATCTCCAGATTCTAGGTTTCAGGTGCTTCACCATGGACATTTCAAGGGATTGCAGGTCCAACAAAAAACTGTAAAACAAAGTGTTTCGAAGAAATTGCCCAGATTGTGTTCCCTTGGGCCGAAGATTGTTCGTTTCCCAAAAAACATTTTGCCCCCTTCAACATTCCAATTCAATTCGTGTTGGAGTACTCCAGGCTCCAAAATATGAGGCTTGGAGAATCCAACATTAGACATCTCGAGGATTCTGATCTCCAGATTCTAGGTTTCAGGTGCTTCACCATGGACATTTCAAGGGATTGCAGGTCCAACAAAAAACTGTAAAACAAAGTGTTTCGAAGAAATTGCCCAGATTGTGTTCCCTTGGGCCGAAGATTGTTCGTTTCCCAAAAAACATTTTGCCCCCTTCAACATTCCAATTCAATTCGTGTTGGAGTACTCCAGGCTCCAAATTATGAGGCTTGGAGAATCCAACATTAGACATCTCAAGGATTCTGATCTCCAGATTCTAGGTTTCAGGTGTTTCAAATTGGACATTTGAAGGGATTAGAGATCCAACAAAATGCTGTAAAACAGAGTGTTTTGCAGCAGTTGCTCAGATTGTGTTCCCTTGGACCGAATGGACAGCCTTTGATATAACAGTGCAGCAGTGATGACACACACACACAATCATCAACCTTTTAGGACCACATGCCCAAACCACATCAAACAAGGCCTCAAATGAGTGTCCTTTTTTTCCCAAACAACAGTCTCCACTTGCTACGCAATAAGCCTACAGAAGGTTTATAAACTTTCAGGAAAGTTTATAAACCTTATTGAGTGTTTGACGAGTTTCCCGCGTCAAGGTTCATGGTATCGTTGAAGGATGGGGGGGGGGGTTGGTTGGAAGTCTTGGGGGGGAGGGGGGGAGGGGGGGGGGGGGGGGGGTGGCTGGAAGTCTTAGCAGTGAGGGGGGGGGGGGGTGGCTGGAAGCTGGAAGTCTTAGCAGTGAGGGGGGAGGGGGGGGGGGTGGCTGGAAGTCTTAGCAGTGAGGTGACTCAGCCAACTTTGTAAAGACTTCTCAGTACCCCCCCCCCCCCCCCCCCCCCCCCCCCCGTAAAGAGTTCTGACCCCCCCCTGCCCTTGTTGCAGGGAAACCGTCAAACCCTTGACATGGTTTATAAACTGTCTTGAAAGTTTATAAACTCTTTGCTGTTGATACTCAACATGACTTGTCACCCACAAACAAATATGCAGCAACAGCACACTTCTTGCATATATATGCTCACACCCCCTGTCTTTAAAAATAAGAGGGTTTTGTACATTTTGAAGTGGAAAGGTAGGCCCTGGGGGGGGGGGGTGAGCATATATATATATATATATGTGTATATGTGTATATATATATGGAAAAAAACAAACAAAAAACAACAACAAACGCAGCGTTTGTTGGCTGGTGGGTTGAGATTCTTAAGGGGAAGTCTTCCCCAAAAAAGGACATGTTCCTGTCCTTCCATCTCAATAGTATGTTGTAGTTTTCCCTGTTGGTTTTAAAGGGATTCGGTTTCGCTACCCAGTGGATTTCCATGGGGAACAAAAAAGGGGCACCTAGGTCCTCCAGTAGAGAGCCTCCCCCACAAAAGGGGAGAGAAGGGCACCTAGCTGGGGGACCGAGGCGCCAGCGCCTGCACCGCGCCGCGCGCCTGCGCAGGCGCCACACCGGCACCGGCGAGCGCCGCGGCGAGGCGCCGGGGCGCTACGGCGGCGGAGCCGCCGGCGAGGGCCAGGAAGACGCGCCTCGTCGCTTCTTCGGGCGAACTCGGCCCCTGGCGGTGCTTTTTTTCTCGATTGGGTCCTCCTGGGAGCTACCAACTCCCCAAAACAGTTGGTCAAAGGGCCTGCCGAAGCGGACCGGGCGAGAGCTTGGCCCGTCGCCTTCCCCGGTTTTCTTTCCGGGAAAGCCCTGTAGATTTTGGTCGTGAACCCGCAAGAGCGGGAAAAAACACCACACCAAACATCAGAAATTGGTGGTGGTTTGGTTTGGTGCATGTCTGGTACCTTCCCCATTTGACTTCAAACTGGGCCGACCGAAACATGCATTTTCCTTCTGGTTCTTGGGTTGAAAGGTGCTTGCCCTTGGTCACCCACCTGAACAGGTAAATGCATCCACTGGGTATCATACAAAGGCTCGGACAGTTTTGCGTTGTTCCGTTACAGGCCCCTTTTTGGGCTACCCAAATCCACTCGCCCGAAAAAAGACAAGAAAAAAAGAAACGACCCATTTAAAATCCAAACACAAAGGTACCGAAACCATGCAGGAGGTATTCCTAAAACAATAAAATGTGTCCAAAACAAAGCCTTACAACGAGTATTTGGAGGGGGTACAGGTACAGGTAAATGGATCCAGGTGGTGGGGATAACTTAGTGGTTTGGATTGGCTAAGGCGTGTCCCATTTACCCCCGATCCGCAAGAACCAGGCGTTTCTTTATCCAAACCACCAATCCAATCAATCCCCAAAGGGCCACCTAAGCAGGGAAATTGTGGTTTCCAACTTTATTTTGGTGCCGGAAAAAGCAACATGTTTCAAATGGTTGCAACATGTATTATTCTTTTTCAGGAGCCCTGTTCATGTTTGTTTGTGGTTTTCCGGAGAGCAAAAGGAAAGTCTCGCAGTCCGATTCGGTACTAAAAAAGGAGGTACTTACCATGGAAAACCAGGTTTTTCCAAACAATACCAACTGAAACAAGCGGGTATTTGGAGTAGGGGGTTAGTTCTTCCAGGTCACGACAAAGAATCTCCGCGCCTGAAGCTTGGCATCTGGTTGGCTGAGGCGGCAAAGGCCAAGCGCATGCGCAAGCACTTCTGCAGCACCTGAAATCCGACAAATGGAAGCCGAAAGCTCCCAATGCCATATTTCAGCCCAAAGGCTCCTGAAGCTTGCAATTGAAGACTCGACCCCTCCATTAGACACCCCGCAAATGGTTGGAGAAAACACGTTTTTTGTGCTTGGTATTTGTGGGAAAAAACAAAACGGTTTTTCTCCGTGGTAGCTACCTTCTATTCCAGGGAATGCGTGTGCATGTGTGCGCGTCCCCCCGTGTGTGTGTGTGTGAGTGCTAGTGTTTAGTTGGAACCCCCTTTTGGTTGGCTTCAAGGGGGAGCCAAAAGGAAGACCATGATTCACAATACACACATTATCCATGGTAAATACCGTAGGTGTTTATTAAAGGGTTGACATCATACCCTGAAAGAAGTGGGTAATTATTGTGTGTAGGGGGTGTGTCTCTTACTCAGTTGCCCCAAGGGCCCTTAAAAAGGGTGCTCATCAAAATGCCCTCTCAAATCTGTTTCTCCACCTGCCGCTGCCTCTCCCTACAAACCAAGCCAGTCGCTCCGCAAATTATCAAGCATCCTCGAGAGGACCTTGCGACCAGGCGCCTGATAAAATGGAAAATGGGCATCGGTGAAACGGGCCCTACAGCATTCCGGTTCCATTCCGGTTCCTGAGTTGCCCAGTTTGGACCCACCGTGCGGCACCTAAACGTCTAAACATGGCTCGCAAGCTGTGGCTGTGGGTCAAACCCCAGGAAACCCCTGGTGAACGTCAACATAGGTGGAGCATGGGCGTTCCGCACCAAAATGGAGGCATAGGTTATGACCCATGGATCATGCTGGTCGACACGTCCACAGGCGCCAGATCCGGTCGATTCGCTTTGGGCAAGTGATTCATTCACAAGCCGTCTAGCTTATCCTGCATCAGTGAGCTGCGACCGCCATCCTCAGGCTTTCCCCACGTAACAATAGAGCCATCCTGCAGGGTGGCAGCAAAGGCACCGCCTGTTGCTTGAATCTGATGGACGCCCACCAACCTTGAACACGGTGGCTGGAAAGGGAAATGAGGGGAAACCAAAAAGCATGAAAACGGCCAAACAAGATATCACAAAATATCAAACAAATGCACACAAATATAAAAAAAAATAATCAAAAGGATCCAAAAAAGGATCAAGGCCAAAAAAGGTAAGCAAAGTCTGGCAATGCAACTGCTCTTGCACATGGTCACTGTAGCCGCCAGCGTTCCCATCGCCCCAAGTCACAACAAAGCCGTCCGAACCTTTCCAACCCAAATGGCATGCTAGCCAAAACCTGAATGCCTTTTGCCAGCCACTGCCAAAAAATGAACAGAACCTACAAACCCGCTAAAGCAACAAACAAAAACAAAACAATAACAAAACATGCCAAGAACATTGAAGGAACGGAGAGCAGCAAAAGCTTTGTCGGATCCCCGGATCTGCTCGATTTCCACTAACCGGTCTCGCACTGCATTGCTGTCACCGCCCCAATCAGGATCGCCCCAAGTAACCACAGAGCCGTCGTCCAGCATCGCAGCGAAGGCGAAAGCAGTTGCTTGGATCTGCTGGACGCGCGCCAACTGACTTTGCACCTCGCTGCTGATACCGCCAGTTTCTGGATTGCCCCATGTCACCACAGACCCGTCGTGCCGAACGGCAGCAAAAGAAAAGCCACTTGCTGCGATATTCTGGACATGCACCAACTGCTCTTGGACCTGACTGCTGTCACCTCCATAGCCAGGATCGCCCCACGTCACCACAGACCCATTTTCGAGGATGGCAGCAAAAGCAAAGCGGGTTGCTTGGATCTGCTGCACGCGCACCAACTGCTCTCGCACCTCGCTGCTGTCGCCACCATAATCAGGATAACCCCAAGTCACCACAGAGCCGTCGTCTAGGATGGCAGCAAAGGCCTCTGTGGTTGCTTGGATCTGCTGGACCCGCACCAGCTGCTTTCGCACCTGGCTGCTGTCACTGCCACTGCGAGGATGGCCCCAAGTCACAACCGAGCCGTCGTCCAGGATGGCAGCAAAAGCTTGACTTGTTGCTTGGATCTGCTGGACCCGCACCAACTGCTCTCGCACCTGGCTGCTGTCGCCGCCACCGTCAGGCAGGCCCCATGTCACCACGGAGCCGTCGTCCAGAATGGCTGCAAAACCACCCATTGATGTCGCTCGTATCTGCTGCACCCGCACCAAGTGTGCTCGCACCTGGCGGCTGTCAAAAGGGGTGTCAGAATGGCTCCATGAAATCATCGCGCCTCCTTGTACATACAGTGCCATGACTTCCGCTTCGGACACGAGCCTTGCGGGCTGCACGATGGCATCGATACTGGCGCCGTCTCTCACGCCCACCTGACTCAAGGTACCTCACGTGCCCAGTGCGAACCTGGACGTAAACGTGATCTGCTTTTGGTGCCCGGACCAAAGATTGTGGCCAAACCAGGTAAACCAAAACTAGGTCCTCCAGTAGACAGGTTAGAATAAGGGTACCCTTTTCTCTGTAGTGTATTTTAGTAGGGGAACCCTTCCCCAAAACAGGGGGTGAGAAAGGGCACTACTGGGGGACCTATTAAAAGGTCAAAAGGTCCACTTGAAAGTGAGGCACAGGACAAATCGAGTTTCCGACCCTCGAACGCAAGGCTCAGAAAGTGGCGTTCCAACTGCCGCTGTGCCTCAGCCTTGAGTGCACGGACGCTCGACTCCGGCGATACTTGCGCCACGCAGCAGCTTTTCCCGCTCGGCAAGCTCACATAGACGTCCATGGCTTCCCGTTCCTTCTAAAAACTGAGGACTCGAGCTGTGTTTGAGGCTTTGTTCAACTAGGTCCTCCCATAGAGAGGTTAGAACAAGGGTACCAACATTTTCTGTAGTCTATTTCACTAGGGGAACCCGCCCCAAGAAAAGTTGGTAAAAGGGCACCACTTGGGGACCTAGGCGGCGAACAAGAAATCTGTTGGCCTGATGTGATTCTTTGGCCTTCTGGGTCGCGCTGACAGTATCAGACAACATGTCCAACTGACATGCAAGAACAAAACACTAAACCAGGGGCACGTGGCGTGCGCACGGGCACGTGCGTGAAAGCGTCCACCAACTTGGGATGTTGCAACTCATCAATCCAAGTTGCCAAGGGACAAATAAACCCCAGGTTTAAGTCCATCGGAGAGGCTGAATCATTGGGCGACTTGTTCCTCTATTCCTAAGACCAGGGGCTTGGTATGCAACCCGAGTTGCTGAAACAGGGTGTCAAAAGGACATATTTTGAGTTGCCCCAAATTCCAGACAAAGCTGACCCGGGATCATGAGATGTACGGTGAAACAAATAGTACCCAGCTTCAAGAATCTCTGAATTCCGAAATACAAACCAACTGAAAAAGAAACCATCTGAAAAGAAGCAACAAATCCGCCGACCCCATGCCTGGTCCAGAATGGACCATGCTTTTGGCATAGGGGCGATCTGTTCTGTGTTGCTTTTGTTGATATGTTTTCTATAATTATGAATATATATAAAAATATATGTCCCTTGGGGCGAGGAGGTATTTTCCTTGAAAAGCCAGGTTTTCAAAAAAACAGAAGTAAAAAAGCGGGTATTTTGAGTAGGGGGTAGGTTATAAAACCCACGCATAAGTCCCGCGTGAATGTCGGATGAACCTTGCCAGGAGGTTGTACCTCAGGCGTTTTCAACTTGCTAACTGGGCCGAACGTCCAAGTGCCCTCTACTCCAAATACCTGCTTTATTCAGGGTGCGATGTTGACCCTCTACTAAAAAAGGGAACGGTCTTTACCCTGGAACACCTTTTTCGGTTCTCCCAAAAAGTGACAGAAGATGCCTGGTTCCTGGCACTTGCGGGGGTACCTCAAATACCACGCGACAAAAGCCGCCTGGTTCCTGGAGGTTGGCAGGCACCTCTTGTGTTTTCACCATGGTTTCGCCATGTCGGCTGGAATTCGGAAGAACAATGTTTCCATGATAAACGCCTTCTTCTTAATAAGCTCAGGTGATATCCCCAACAGCGGAACCTCGTGGAACCCTGGTGGAACCCTGGTGGAACCCTGGTGGAACCTTACGTTAGGGCCGCCCCGGACCACCCCGGCGCCTGTCTGGGCTGAGACCCCAAAGCTTTCAGCTGTTGGGGAATAAGAAAGGTTTGGCATCAAACCCCGAGAACCAACAAACAACACAGAAAAACCAAAACACATGATCCCATCTTTCCAACTAAAAACTGGTCTGTCCTCAGATCCCCTACTAAAAGTCTAGCTTGTGGGTTAATCTTGGAAACCCAACCACTAAACCACCAAACAAAACCAAAAAAAACAAAAACAAAATTGAACCATGGGCTTCGGGAACCGCCAAGAAAAGAGTGGGTATTTGGCATCAAAAACATGTACCCAAAATGGCCCCGAAATGGATTGCCCGAGCTCTGAAACATTTTTCGAGCCACACCCATTTGGCTGTGGGTCAAAACCCTGCACCCCTGGTGAACATCAAAATAGGTGGCACATGGATGTTCATCCACCCCAAAACGGAGCCATACTGCACCTAAGAAACCCTGGTTTCGGACGATTCCCCTGTACATTGACATACCCACAAACTTTATGGTTTCTCCCATGTTTCTCAGGTGGTGCGAAATAGATTTTGTCCATCCACAGTAGGTTCTGCCCCATGGCCATTGCTGCCTCTGGGGCCAGTTCTCTCTTCAAGCCGATGGCGAAACCGAGACCGAGGCGCGTCGCGGCCCGGGAAGTTGGCGAGGCGTGCCGCGTAGTGGCCGGGAAGCTCAACGTCCTCCCCGGAAACTTTGGCTCCAAATGGAGTTCTTGCGGGTCCAGGTACTCATGCCAACTTCTGTTTGAGGGTTTGCTCAAGGTCCTCCAGCAGTAGAGAGGTCCCCCTGAAACTTCTACCGCAGGAACAGATTTTCGCTTTTTCGCACTCCGGATTGTGCGGTGAGCGGTTGGAACCTGGGCTCCAAATCCTCCTCATTTTGGAGGCCTCGGAACTCGGACGGGGCCTCGGACCCTCTCAAAGCTTCCTCCAGATTCGCGAGGATAGAATAAGTTGGTACCGTTTCTTTTTTCAGTTTTGTCGATTTTCGTAGGGGATCCGAATCTCCCAACCAAAAAAGGGGAGAGAAGGGCACTACGAGGGACCCTAGTTACCGCTAAAACTTGCGGTGCGAGAAGTAGGGAAAATTCCCTTAAAGGAAACCACCAGTTGGATGGTTTACAGGGGTCATTCCATCATTCTGAGCACCAGCAAGAAAATGGTCCAACCCCAAAAAGTGACTATACCCCCTACACCCAATACCCTCTTTTTTCGGGGTATGATGTCGACCCTCTACTAAAAAGGGATCGGTAGTTACCATGAAAAACCGATCGGATCTCCCAAAAATGCCCTAGCAAAAAAAACAAACGGGTATTTGGAGTGGGGGGTAGAGTCCAGGAACTCAGGGGGTGAGCCAGAAATGGGCGGCTCCTCTTTTGGACTTGGTACGCATTGCTCGGTGGTTCTGAAGGAAAAAGCCACAAGGCGAACCGCTGGTTTTTTGGGGAAGGGTCCCCTAAAAACAACCACAAATACCAACCTGGACCAAGCAACTACCCGGACCCTCAAACTTCCCATAAAAATTGGAGATCACCCAATAATTTTGGGGGTTAAACCCATTTTTAAGTTGGAATTTTGAGGGTTCAGGTACCCAGCTGGCGACCTAGAAAGGGCTCCTCTCTCCAAAACCTACCTGGAGCGCCAGTTTTGATCGCTTCTCTCCATGAACTGCAACCCCAAAAACCAGCAACTGTGACTGAAAAAGCGATCGCAACGTGGCTGTCTAGGTGGTCTTAAAACAGCGGATTGCACCCACCAAAGACCATTATCCCCATTTGCATGGTAGTTTCGGACAGAAGTGATTAACACCCAAATGGCTTTTCGAAGCATTATAAGCCATTAGACAATTGGGGGATCTCCTGCTTTTTTCTCCTGCTTTTTCCTCCCCAGGTGCATTCCCTCATTCCCTACTTCTCGCACCGCAAGTTTTAGCGATAACTAGGTTTCCCCGTAGTGCCCTTCTCTCCCCTTTTTGGTTGGGAGAGGGAGGATTCCCCTACGAAAAATCGACAAAACTGACAAAAGAAACGGGACCAACTTATTCTATCCTCGCGAATCTGGAGGAAGCTTTGAGAGGGTCCGAGGCCCCGTCCGAGTTCCGAGGCCTCCAAAATGAGGAGGATTTGGAGCCCAGGTTGCGACCGCTCACCACACAATCCGGAGTGCGAAAAAGCGAAAATCTGCTCCTGCGGTTGAAATTTAAGGGGCCGCAGCCAAGACAGTGGACCAAGGCTCTGGAGATGAAACCTGAAGGAGTTTTCACCAAACAAACATGAGTCTGCCTTTTTTTCATCTTGCAACCCGCCCGGGGTTGGACACCATTCTTTTTGGGAAGCCAGCTATTGGTGGGAACCTTGTTTATCCTTGTTTGGAGGCTCCGAAACCATTTTTGGTGGGCAAGCTCTGCTTCTTGGGAGTAAAGACCCTTTGCGGCCAAAACCGCAAAAACAAATCCGACCGAGCGCAGGAAAGAAAAACACAACAGCGCTCCACCCGCCCCTCCAAATACCCACCGTGTTAATGATGGTAATTATTGAAACAACATGTTTTCCGCGGGTAAATACCTCATTTTTAGTAACGAGTTGACACTCTTCTAAGGGTTGATTCCCCATTCTTTCCAACCATCACGTCAAAACCGGCCGTTTTTTCTGGGTTTCCGGAGTTTTTCTAGAAAGAAGGATCCCTGGAAAGAATGGGGAAGTTAGCACTACAACCCCGAACAAAGTGGGCATTTGGCTGGTCCCCTCCCCGCTTCGCCTCGTCCTTTGCCTCGGCATCGCCGTGCAGCTCCGCGAAAAGCGGATGCAACAGCAGCTCCTCAAATTGTCCCTTCCGCCGAACCCACGAAAACTGGCGTCGCCGACGGTTGAGCCGCGGCCGTCTAAGAAGAGAATGGGGCACATGTGGGCGGCTCGTCGTTTTTTGGACTTGGTATCCTTTCCATAGGGTTGTTTTCAAGGATAACCATAAGGAAACCACCATATTATCATTTTTTGTGGGAGGGGGTCCTGGGGAAAAAAAACACGCCCATCCAATATAGGGACTTGGACCCGCAACAGGTTTTGTCACTGGTCCTGACATTGTCCTAGAACAACAAAAGGTATCTCGTTGGCTGTGGGTTGTGAGGGGATTACCCCAAACCCACCCCCTACTCCAAATACCTGCTTTTTTCAGGGTATTATTGGGAAAACCGATCGGTTTTCCATCGTAATTCCTTTTTTTAGTAGAGGGTCGACATCATACCAACTAAAAAAAAGGCCGGGTATTTGGAGCTTTCGGGGGCAGGCTTCGCACTTCAGACTGGCCCTGGCCAGCAAGTCACCCAACTCCAAAATTTATTCCCGGGCTTGGTCCCCTTAGACGAAACAAAACAACAAATGCGTTGCAAGGGTCATTCCATTTTTCATTCGCTACTTATCGCAGCAGCAAGATTTAGTTGGTATCATGTCAAGCCTCTCAAAAATGTTTGGTACTTACCATGGGAAGCCCAGGCGTTCCCAAAAACACCGACCGCAAACGCCCTACTCAAAATACCCGCTTTTTTCAGGGTATGTTTGGGAAAACCGATCGGTTTTCCCCCGCAAATACCTCCTTTTCTAGTAGAGGGTCGACATCATGCCCTGAAAAAGCAGGGATTTTTTTACCCCCTACTCCAAATACCCGGCCTTGTTTCAGTTGGTATCATGTCGACCCTCTACAAAAAAGAAGGTATTTACCATGGAACACCGATCGGTTTTCCCAAAAATACCATGAAAAAAGCGGGTATTTGGAGTAGGGGGTAGTTCTGTGATACAACACCCATGATATAAAGAGGGAGATTCCCTTGTATCACACAGAAGTGGGGATAAACCCCTTCATCGCCGTCATTACTGGTCCAAAACCAGAAACTGTCCTCTGCCTTCGGCCGCAGAGCAACGGAAGGCGTCAGCATGGAGTCGCACACCTCTCGACATCGGGTCGATACTCGATCCGGGACAAACAACCCCCCCACTCAAAATACCCTCTACTCAAAATACCCGTGGTGTTTCAGGTGTTCCATCGTAATACCTCCTTTTTAGTAGAGGGTCAACATGATGCCCTGAACAGAGAGGCTATTCTCAGTTGCCCAAAGGACCCAGAAATAAAAGGTTAACCTTTTGGGGCCATGACTAAACAAGGATCAAAAGCGGAAAACCCAAAGGTTAAAAGGTCGGCTTTGGGCAACTGAGTATTTGGAATAGGGGGTAAAATGTTCGGCCGTGACTAAAACAGCAGGTATGTACGAAACCGATCGGTTTCGCAACATCAACCCCAGAACTGGGCATCTACAGTACCCCCTGCACCCAATACCCGGCCTTTTTTCAGGGTATGATGTCGACCGTCTACTGAAAAAGGAGGTATTTACCATGGAAAACCGATCGGTTTTCCTAAACATACCCTGAAAAAAGCGGGTATTTGGAGTAGGGGGTAGCCGGACTTTGACAAGACTGAAATCCCCCGACACTGGAGCTGTGTATTTGTGTGTGTGTGTGTGCGTGCGTGTCTGTGCCTCCGTGTCTGTTTGGGCACTTCCTGAGAAGACTGGCCAATCAAAAACCTACACGTTTTGGTCAACCATGGAAATGGTCTTCCATAAAAAGTTTCAAGTCCATGAGCTTAGGGAGTGTGATTGGGTGGTGCCGTGTTTAGGCGGCTTTATCAGTTTCGCCTTCTGTTGGCTCTGCATTTGTTCGAGTCTCAGCGGTGTTAGAGGGAAAGCAGCGGGGAAGCGGGACAAATCTGGGGCCCCTGTTTTGAGTGTATGAACCCCTCGCACGTAAACACCGTGTTCCGGCTAACTGTGGAGTACCCCCGCAAGCTGCAAATACTTGTTGCGATTTCAGGGTATCATGTCAACCCTCTTTCAAAAAAGGGAGGATAAGGGAGGTCTTATCTTGAGTAACCAGCTAGAAAAAATCATACTCCAAGACAAGCGGGCATTTGGAGTAGGGGGTATGCTTGAATCTTTGGGTCCAGTTTTTAAAAGAGCACTAAGTCAAAAGCGACATAAGGTTTCATAGAATTCTACAAGCTACCTTTGCTGGATTGCTCCAAGCCATTGTTCCTGTTCATACACCCTTGGTACGCATAAAAACGCGCTTCGTTTGTCTGACTCCGGGCCCAACGCCCAAGTCTGGCAGTTGAAAACACGCCCACCCCCTACTCCAAATACCAGTTTTTGTCAAGTGTTTTTTGTTGAAAGCCGAAAAACCACGGTAAATACTGCCCTTTTACAAAGTCAACATCATAGAAACTGAAAGGCCGGGTATTTAGGTTTCGGGTGCACTTGTTGCACCAAGCTATTGTCATTATCTCAGCCTGGCTCACTTCTTGCGGCTTAGGGAAGCCAACTGGAAAACTCGAATGGAAACCCAACATTGGCAGGGATCCTTACATTATACACCTGAACATTGCCTTGTAAATGGTGGTGTCCCTTTATTTTGGTGGGAAAAGCCATGTTTCAAATGGGCAAAATGTATATTTTAAGGAGCCCTGATTGGGAAAGCCGAACATTTCGACACACCCCACAAAAACCCGAAAAAAAGAGAGAGAAAAAAAAACACATGCCAAATAGTTCAACTTTGAAAGGGAAGGCTCGATGGGGCGTGTTCAAACTTGAGGCTCCAAACGAACCTCCATTGGTCAAACAAAAACAAGACGCAGCCTGTTTTTTCAGGGGATGTCAATCCTTTACCTCACTTCCCGAGTTGATGAGCCAACAAAACACACTGTGTTTAGCACTAGGATGGTCCAAACCCAAAAAGTGTCAAGTCCAGGAACTCGGGAAGCGAGATTCCGAAAGAAGAAGGCATAGTTCCATGGGAGAACCGAACTTACTTTAAATTAACCATACCCTAGATAAAATTGCGGGGTAGTTTGAGCAGAAGGATATCATGACGGCAAATATTTTGACTGTATCCCCCCGAAAGACTTGTCAACCTCTGACTAAAACCCTCGGAATCTGTGAAAAGCCTGGGTTTCAATCAACTACACTACCCGGCAAATAGATGGCACATTTACGACGTATATTTTTAGGTAGATGGCACGGTGTGATTTAAAAATAGCCCATGCTCAGTACCAGCCCAAAAGCAGCGTTCTTGTTTTTGTTTTTTTTCCCCGAGTGGGGGGTATGAGTACTGCAGCGATACCCGTGAACCAAAACCCGCTGCTGGGGTGGTTCTCCTACTTGAGTATTACGCCCCTCTTTTCCGTGTGGTTGGACAACCGAAAAATCGGACTCCGGGGACAAGACGACTCCTTTTTTGGTACAGGGCCGGCAGCATACCCTACCCCCGTAACCTCCAAATACCCACGCTTCTTTCAGTTGCTGCTTTTTGGAAAACCGAAAAAGGTTTTCCATGGTAAATACCTCCTTTTTTAGTAGAGGGCCGACATGATACCAACTGAAACAAGGCCGGGCTGTGGGTGCAGGGGGTAAATTGGGTACGGCGGCTCTAGTATTTGGGTATTCGTAACATGGTGGGTTCCTGCCCGCTGCACCACCAAAAAAAGGTGACTTGCCTGGGGCAAACAAAACACACCCCCGAAAGCACCCAAGACCCAGCCTTTTTTCAGGGTATGATGTCGACCCTCTACTAAGAAAGAGGTATTTACCATGGAAAACCAGGTTTTCCCAAAAATACCCTCAAAAAAACGGGTATTTGGAGTAGGGGGCATATCAAAACACACAGCTTGTGAATATGCATAGTATCACGCCCAGAATCACTCAGGCATCAAAATGCCAAACCTGCGTGATGCAGCCTGCAGGAAAGGTTACCTACTGCAAATGACCGCTTTTGCTAGGTATGTATTTGGAAACCTGGTTTGCCATTGTAAATCCTGATCTCAAGAATACCACCTTTTTTAGTCAAGGGTTGACATCATACCCTCTGAAAGAAGCGGGTATTCGGTGAGGGTGTATACGTTGAAAGCCACGGTTTTGCCACGCTAAATACCTCTTGGTTTGGTCAGAGGTCAATTTGTTGGATCTCCAGAAGCATGCTGCGGCTGCACGAAATCCTGCACTAAGAAACCCTGGAATGGGGTGCCATTCGGGTTTTTCGCGCTCTTGAATAGCTTAAGACGCCTTCTCGCCCCAAACTGGACATTGACGGCTCATGTCACGTGCGGGCATAAGTCGGATACAAGGGTGTGAGATCAGGCTGGGTTGGGTGGGTTCTCGAAAAATCAAGTATCTTACAGCTTGGGGTTCACTCTGTCTTACCTTTCAGTCAGGCTGCGATTCGGTCAAAACTCAAGGCGGCTCACTCAATTCTCGAAGCAAAATCAGCGGAAACAACCCGACTCATGGTTTAACACCAGCGACCTCCAAATATAAATGCGTTTTGCAAATGCATACTTCTCAAAACCCCGGTTTTCCAACAGCAATAAACCTAATTTTAGTCAAGGTTGACATTAAAACCTCTAAGCAAAGGCGAGTATTTGGAGGTTACGGGGAAAAAAGGGTGGGATTTCGGGAGATTCAAATGGTTGTTTGGGACCCAAACCCAAAAGAGGCCCAAGGGGCACCCTAGTTTTGGTTGACTTAGTCAGGCCCCTTTGGGCGACCAGAAAGAAAGGGGCGGTGAGCGTATTTTGGGGCCGCAGGTGTCCCTTTTTCTGACCTGCTAAACCCAAAACTTGTGGGTGAAATTCGGGGGGAAAAACAACAACCACATAGCCAAGCAAAAGCAACTGAAGACAGAAAAACAAAGACCCTACAAATTCTAAAACTCTAAAAGCAACTAAAAGCAACTAAAAGCAACCAGAAATCCAAAACAAATCGGACGATCAGTTGGACATTGTCGGCAAATCCTACATTGCCAGGCCCAAGCGAAGCTTGCTGGTGCGATCAGTGGGGCATGTATAGTTGAATGAACCCGAAGGCTTCGAAGGGCATGCCGAATAGAAGCCACCAAGAGTTGGATGCTTTAAATCGGGGTCATTCCACTTCTCATTCCCTACCTATCGCACCAGCAAGTTAGCTCGGAATTCGAAGGTTTGGTCAATGTCAGCAGGGGATCAGGAAACGGACAGCCCAGTCGACGCAGCAAATCGAATCCACCACATCAAACTCCCCTACTTCAAATACCCATGTTTTGTTGAGGGTATCATTTGTCAACCCTCTAGTTAAAAAAAAAAAAAAAAAAAAAAACGGGGATTGGTATGTACCGTGGTTTCAAACGATCGCTTGCCTAAAAAAAATCAACTAAAAAAAACGTTGGTAGCTCGAGTAAGGAGTTGGTCTACTTGCAGTATGGCCCTACTGACACCTTGGACACGGAAACTCGTATATTTGTTGGGCAATTAGTTATCATGCAATATCTAATGTTTAAGAATTACCCCCAACATCCAATGCCCCCTACGCTGAGAACAAAAAACGGCTTTGGCCAAAATTCGGCGCTCACCGGGGAGGGGGGAACCTTTACAGCTCTTTCCGTGATTTTCCACCGCTTGGAGTCCGAAGCGGAGCGCTTAGCGATGGCATCATGGATTTTCGATTTTCCCCACGCCTCTTGGCACTGCGGGGCCACATAAGGCACCTCGGCCCAGGGAGCCAGCGGCTCCATGGCCCAATACGCCTCGAGTGACTCGAGTGACTCGAGCCATCGAATGGGTCCAGCCGAACACGTCGGGGAAGTGTTCGGTGGCACCCGGTGCCCCGGAACCTCCAAACTGCCCACATGGCTCGGGGCATTTTTGCGAAAAGTTGGTTTCCACGGGTGGGTTTCACGTTAAGAAAGAGTATTTGGAGGGGGTAGAGGGAAATGGATCCACCGGGTGGCGTAGCGGGTAAATTGGTGGTTTGGAGTGGTGGTCTGGTGGCTACTGCAAGAAGCAGGGGTCCTTTATCACGGAAATCAGAGTCGATGGTGACCGCGAAATGAGGTAGAACCTGTCCTATTTACTTATTTTCTGGGGGTGCCCTCCAATCCCTCCAAAAGTTGGTGCTAAACCCAGATGAACCACCCCCAGTCTATTAATATGGGGGTGTTCCCCTCCAAAGGTGATGATCCCCCGTAGAAAGTTCGGGGACAGCCTCTATGAAGTTGCACTCTTTTTGATTCATCTGGGGTTAACATGACCTGACAAAAGCTGATCAACCCACCGACCATTCTTGTCCTATTGATTGGGGATGTTCCCTCCCAAAGTTATAATTTGAAAAAAAAAACAAATCCCCTCCAAAAGATACCTGAACCCTCCAAAAGAACAGAAATTTCCGTACATGCGGAAAAAAAACGTCAATGTACACTTTTTGGGGAATATGACGGAAATCGCCTTTTGCAGGATTCGAGTGTTTTCATCGCCTTTTGCAGGCTCTGAGGATTTTTAGGCGTTTTTTTTTGTTTTAGTGCGGGTGCGGGGAGCCGCAAGCGCATGAAATGGTCCGCCCCCGCCCTGCCCGGGATTGAGACTTGCTGCATCTCGCTGACAGCCCTGCTCGTGGCCGGAAGCCTTTTGGGATCAGGGGTCTACGGATTGAATTTTATGCTACTGGCGGGGCAATGGCTTGCTTAAAATGCAGCCCCGAGCTCCTGGAAGAAGCGAAAGCTGAAGGACGAGTTTGCCACTCATTGTGCAAAGTTTGGGATTGTTCAGTCACGGTTTTCTCGCAGGACTCGAAACGTTCCCGTCAAAGTTCTGGAGCGAAGTGCAAAGGGTTCTTTTTCCTTCCGTGGAACCTCAGGCGGGGAGGGTGGCTTGAACAAAGCTAAGCTCGAGAACATGCTTCCCCCCTTTCCCCGGCCCCCCGGTCACCAAACAGGAGATTCTCACCGACACTGTTCTCAAAGACGCCCTCACCAACTACCGACAAGGGGGCGCAGTTCGTCAATTGGCCAACTACTATCTTGAATGCATCTCCAATGGTACCTTGACTGCAGGAAATTGGTCGAAGCCATCCATCAATTCTCCATGCATGCCAGGTGACAGTGGCGAGGTCCCCCCTCCGCAGGAGACTCCGAAAGACTGACCGTCAGCAATTGGCTGATTGTTCCCGATTGCAGACATCAAAAAAGACTGACGCTAGCATGGCTTCGCTTTGCAAAGCAACTGTTGTTTTTTCTGGACACCTTCTCGTGACCCCTGCGCAGGTTCTGACCTTGCTCCTGGCCCGGAGGCGCTGCTCCCCGCTTTTGTCTCTCTCGCTTTACGCCAATTGCAGCGCGAAGAGCGTCTCGCCTGTCAGCGTCTCTTTGCGGCACTCGCAGTTTATAAGCTCAAACGCGTGTTGAAAAACCTAAGAGTTAGAGAGCGGCCATCCTGCTTACAGCATGTCCTTGGGGGGGTTCAGTGAGCAGCTGGCCAATGACGCTGAGATTCGAACCCGCGTGCTAGAAGCTGGGCAACTCTTCAAGTGGCCAAGCCCGAAAAGCACGGGAGTCATCAGCAACGCCTCCCTGACCCTGAATGAAAGCCTGCTGACCCTCTTGGTACACTTTTGGTGTGTGCAGTGGACAGCCCCAAAAGCAATCCCTGTCAGCGCGGCCAAGCGCGAGGCCAGGCGTTATAACTCTGATGAAATCGTGTGCGCGCAAACCAAGACCCCACGGAAGCCAAAGAACGTCGCCCTTGCCAGGTGAAGAACCTACGTGAGTCTCTGAGGCTACGGGCAGACCCAGCCTCCTGTCATTGCGAAGGACATGCCTTGAAATCATTCCTGACTCTTGCTCTTCGCCGCTTCCGGCTTGGCTCCAAACCGAGAGTCCCTTGACCAAACCAGTATGTTAGTTTGAAGTGCCTGATGCACGCTTGCTCGGTTTGACCCAGCGCGTCTTGTCAGCCCTCATGATCCGAGGATTCAGCAATGTCCAGACTAATCGAGGCCATGAAGACTTACTGGGGCGATTCCTTTGGAGCCTACAGGGGTGGCAGCGACCCTGTTCTCCAGGATGATTATGCGGATGGGGAAGTGTTGGTTGAGGAGGAGGGGTCTGACGAAGCCCCGGATCTGTGCGACCCAGACTTTGAACTTGCAGCCGCCCTTGGTGTTCCCCAAAACTGCATCCAGGCAATGTCCCCTTCCCCAGCCAAGCCTCCAGCTGCAGATGCTCCGCCTGGCGAGAGCAGTGCTGTGGATACCAAGGGCGACGAGGATGCGCAGCTGGGTCACGCTGCAGTGGCAGACCAAAGTGCAAACCTCTCACGCAAAGAACGCATCGTGCAGCTGAAGTGCCTTGACCGCACTTGAATGGGAACTGGAACCCGGCTAGGCTTGCAACATGGCTTGCCGCTGTTTGCTGAAATTTTGCAAGTAGTCACTTGCAGGCTGGCCGTGGCACGCCTTGAAGGCAGAGCCCCAGTCCAGGTGACTGCTGTAAGAACCTTGGCGAAGTTGGAACTCTTGGCTGTTGGTTGCTGCCATTGCTCTTTGGTGTGGCAAGCCGGCATGCTGACCCTTGATTTTTGGAATCTCGTTTGTCCGTCTAAGGAACCGAAGACCCATCTCTTCAAGACACACTGCCGATGGAACTGAGCCCCTTGACGACGGCAGTTGCGTCGCTCAAGAAAGACAACCATTGGGGCGCAACTGATCCAACAGATTTGGTGAAGGCGGATCCCCTCCCCGCCCCAACCACACCCGAGAGCAAGATTAACAAGAACTTGGAGTCAGTCTTTGATGATGAGGCGTGGGTCCTCTGGTTAAGCTTGAAAAACCTGGGGAATTAAAGGGGTTCGCTCACCATTGTCTTCCCGCAGGCCGATGTGACCCGCCTGGACCAGCAGGAGTGGAAGCACGAGCTTGACGCAGGAGCCAAGCAGGTGCCGGAGCCTGCCGAGGGCCGCGGCGGTGGCAAAGAAAAAGGGCGCGGCCGTGGCCGCGGGCGCGGCCGTGGCCGTGGCCGTGGGCGTGCGCGAGGGGCACAGCCGAAAACCATGAAGAGACCTTCCGGATCCTTGCAGACCCCTCCCAACAAACAAAACCATGATCTTGAAGGGAGCAAGCAGGAAACCGGCACCAAGAAGCGCAAGCGCGCCGCCAAAGCTCCTGAGGCGCCCCACGTCAGCCCGTCTGAGACCGTTGAGAACAAAGAGGCAAACAAACCAGCTTGCGACAAGAAAACATTTGCGAGGCGCTATGCGCCAGCCAACGCTATGGGCCTCCTCAAGTGGACGGCTTTGCGCAAAGTCTTCGAGAAGTACATCGCGCCCAAGATCACCCGTCCCTCTATGTTCGAGGACAAGATCGGTCGAACAACGTCGAACTCAAGGGGTGGCCTTGTTTTCCCTTAGCACGCTTTAGTGGGGAAGCAAGGGAAATACCGCGATTAAGTACATCAACGAAACCAGACACAACAATTTGGTTTTTGAAGGAGCCCTGCCCTTGCCCTCCACCTTACCCACGCCCCTTGCGGCCACTGCCTCTGCAGGACGACTTCTGGACATTCACCACGATGCGCTGGCAGGACGAGGACCTGAAGCCAACCACTTCGGCTGAGTTCAACAATTCAGCAATGCAGGTAGTGAAGCCGTTTTTGAGCAAGGAAAACGTTCGCGTGGCTTGGAAAGCAAATTTCCAGTTGGAGCCCGAACTGTTGGATTCAAATGCTGAACCCTCGTTGTAGAGCTTGGCCAGAAAGTGGCCATGAGTCGCCAAATGGAAGGGGGAGCAACTGACTTGTTACTCTTCAATTTCACTACTTGTTTGTCTAACATCAGACTTCGTGCTGGGCGTGGGGGTGGGGCCGGCACTGTTGAACCCAAGCCAAGCCCAGCGCACCAAGCGCCAATGGACTTGTTCGAGTGCCGGCCCTAGTGATACCGGCACTGTTGCACAAGCTTGTCCCTTGCAAATTCGTTAGCCAGTTTGATCTCAGAGCACGCGTTGCGCCCTCTGGCCATTGGCGTTTTGCAAAACCACACAGCGCCGCACGGTGAAAAGATGAGAAGGGTCAAAGAAGCTTTCCAGTATAGTACCTCTACAGGTGCCCCTCAACTGACAATCAGCCTTTTCCCGTCTACCGGTTTAATTTGATAGCTCTTGAGTGTCAAGTTTGTGACCAGCACGTGGGAAGCTACAGTTTGCAGTACGCTGAAGCATGCCCGCGCAGGTATGCCGAGAGCATCAATTCCATTAGCAGCCTACGCTCAATATGCTCCTCCTGCAGGTAGGCCCTGCCTGTTTGCCACTGCATCATGCCCTAACCAAGGGCCCAGAAATACTTTGCTCTAAGGCCTTGGAGACCTGTTGAGCGAGGAACAGCGCTTGTTGACTTGATAATTTCTTCCCCAAGCCCACTCCTTCGGCTTAGCTTCTGGCTCACCAAGAAGCGTCGTTTAAGTCGCCATGTCGCCTGGCGAAGTGGAGCGGGTCGTCAAGAGACTGATCTTAATGGGCGCCCCAAAAGCATCTTGATGCAACTAGAAATTGTGCGAACAGGCGTGCAACTGTGTTTGCACCGGCCTAGGTCTTTGTGTTGGCAGTCCTGATGGTCAGTTGGCTGGAGTTTGTTCCGCTTCCTGAAAGCCCCGACTCCTTGGACCTGGTTGAATTTTTTGCTGGAGCTTCACGAATCTCGAGACTGGGCTCTTGCAAAGGACGCAAGTGTCGCAGAGTTGACATCTTATTTGACCCGCAGTT